ACATAGAACAATTTTAGGAGATCGAGCTCTCTTCAAGGGGACCATGTTGTTAACTTTAATTTACACAAGCTGAACTCGTGCAGTCATGTTGATCAGTTAGTTACACCTTATTCCGCATGACGTATGATCAAATCCCTCAAAGTTTGCTTATCATGGTTGGAGACTCGGACAGGGATATGATTGATGAGAGGGAAGAACATTACGCAGCATCAAACTCAAACAAAGGACTCATGACAGCATGATAAACGTTAAGAATTAATCGCGTTGGTTGTTGTGTCTTTGAGTTTGCCCTTCCATCACTAACTCTCGATAGCTTGTCACTAGCACCCCGGTGCAGCACACAGCATACATACATACGTGGCCAGCAAGGAGTTCACCTACTCGCCAGTCTGTAGACCAGTACGGATGTGCCAAAATACATTATGCCAACCGGGCCTGTCATTAACATGCCATCTCCTTCCAACGCCATTGAAAGCCCACGTATGGATCTCTAAAATATCGTTAAAGAATAAGTCCCGTTTCAACCGTCCATAATATGGCCGACTCTATCGATAACGGATGGCGGCAACGGCGGCAACGGGAGCGGTAGCCCCGCCGTTATGTCGCCCATGATCATGCATCTCTGCCACATTTCGTGGTGTTGGGTTGAGCTGAGCCTAGCCAGAACGTCCCACAATCGTGGCCATGATCAAACCTTGTGAATGCTGTGATCCACTGAGAAGTGCTCGAGAGGCCACCGAATAATGAGTTCGCTCATAAAGTACATGCATCTGGAGGACCGTTGCAAGTGGGGACCTATCTTGGGCAAAGGTGTGGTGAATCTTGCGATGTCTCCCAGGCCACTCTAGGCAAGCGTTTGTGATGCTTAGTTAGATGCATCCCGGGAATGGATTATTATGAGGCGTTTCGCTTCAACAGTACCCAAACGGGCCATGGCCATGTTCGACAAATCCCCTTATGTGCTGCCTTAGTATACATGTTCCCTTATGGCGAGGCGTAGGCCGATTCCTAGACTCCGGCTCGAGACATAATGTACGAAATCATAAAGGGATCAGCATCAGAGGCTGTCGCGAGGCCTTAAGCTCGGGTCCACCAAGGGGAGCCGAGCGTTTGTACAACGCCGCTTCGATAACGTCGCGCCACGAGATTACCCTTTTCAGAGCCCAGGCATCCAAAAGTGGGTTGACGCTCTTGGTGATATTACCGTCAGAGGACGGAGGGTGCACCAGAAGCTCCGGTAGTGTAGGAGACAGGGAGACTGAATAAGGAACAGACCTAGTTCACTTTTTGAGCCACCGATGGTCTTTTTGCATCCTTTTATGGACATGATGAGCAGCGGCCGCTTGGCTGATTGCTTGAAGATGTCGGAGAAAGGACGTTTCAGCGCTCGCACCAGGAAAGTATATCTTCAGACCATTAGCAGGCCTGAGCCAAACAAACTTAACCCCAAGTCTTGACCATCGTGATGCCCAGAATTGCGGACTTGACCTCCGGGGACCAGCAGGCAAAAGCATCAATGTTCAGGTCGAGGTGATGCGCATCAAATGCTTGGCTTTCCCAAACAATGTCAAGCAGCTCTTTCGGTCAAGAATTGAAGCCCCCATTCCGTATTCTATGAAGCGATATACTGTGGCATCCCGCAGTTGCACCAGTAGTACCATTGTGTTTGTTGTCAGTCGCCTCCGGCACCAAAAAAAGACAGGTGTTCCGGTTTGAGGCTTAGGAAAGGCACTGAGTTCGAACGTTGAGATCTCGAAATATCACTACCGATAGTCACGATTCCACTATTGTATTTGTATTCTATCTGATGTTGTGCGCGTAACACCTGTTGAAGGGTAGGGTAGCGCAGCGTAGCGTAGAGTCGCGGCTCAGAGAACACCTACTAAGATAGGGGTGTCTCAAAGCCAAGCCCTGTACCAGTTTCGTTGGCGGTGAACCTTTTGGAGAGTCCAGAAAGTCGGTAAGTTGATGTTTGGAAACTCTAATGCTCGGGGAGGCCTAAGGGGAGCATGACGTGTGTGTATCAAGGTGAAGATGGGGTTTCCAGAAGACTTCCGGAAGAGGCAATGCATGTTGATTCAAAGGGGAAAGTCGGGCAGTGCGAAAAGCGTGACGGCGGCGGGAGCGAGACCGAACAAAATGGAACAACTCGACGCCAAGCAAGGCTTAGTTGCTTCACACCTCTCATCAAAGGGCGTTGCTAGCCAGCGCCCATGTATCCAGTACATCGAGTCCGACGGAGAGCGCCAACAACCTGCTAAGCTACCTTAAGAGGCCTAGAGAAAGGGGTAATGTCGAATGTGGGTGGTTCTCTTGTCCTGGGCCGCGATTCTAAGCCCGATATGGCGGAGATGGGCATGAAATATCCCGAATCTGTGGAAGTAAGGACCCGAAAGGTTGGGCGAAGTTGCTACATAGTATGCGGACAACATGGGCGGCAGCTATTGGGTTTCTGGTAAGTGGCCGCCGACATGGTCGGTCAACCAGTGGCTCGGTACGTGGGAGCAACGCCTTTTAGTGATACGAAGCGGTGAGCAGAAATGCCGCCGCGCTACTGAATCTATCAACCAAGACATGACAATTCCAATCTGCTTCCCTGATACTTGTCCAACTGACTGATGAAGTTGATGAGGCTCTTTTTTGCTGTGAATCATGACAGCGGATCTACCCAGGTATCCTGGTCCGCGCAAGGGACTGACAGCTGCAGCAAGGGTGACCTTGTCCAATAGCGAGCAGCGGGATGGATGGTAATGGATGGCGTACAGTGATGTTGACCTGCTAACCTAGGTAGTTCAATTTGGCGCTACGCATGCCACTGACCGCCCTTTTCCGATGAACGATGTCTTGCAGCTGATCTAGTTATGACATGCATCTTGGGGCTTCTTTTCTTCAGATTGCCGTGAATTATCGGGATTCGTGATCCACTAGATAGATCGGTTCGTTCAGTCTTGCAGATCTATGGAACGCCATCCAGCCCATCTAAAACACAATGAGGAGCACTCCTTTTACATCTTAGGGTATGCATACCCTTTCTGAATCAAGTCCTAGCGTCATGGGCAATCTAGTTACTCAGTTGAGGGTTCACAAGAAGATATGTACATATGTTGATGTTTCAACCAGCTGAGTAACAGCAGGCCTCACCAGTCTCAAGCTGGCTGAGTGGAACAGTGAAAGACACAATTCGGGCTACGTAATATGCTAGGCCCTGATTTCTGGAAGATGGTTTAGAGGAGCAGCCAAGCCGGGAGAGGGTGGTGAAGGGTTCTTCGTGATGGATGCGCCGCAGCGAATTGCTTCGTTTTGTGATGCTGTGTTCATTCCATGGGCGTCTTCTCGAGCCGGCTGGTTGGAAAGGTGAAGACGCCACCGAAATTTGACAGCCAACGATGGTCTTGATGGCGCAAAGATCGATCGATGGGTCCCGAGAGGATGGATAAGCCTACGTCGGACGGCAGTTGGATAGAGCAGGGAAGGGTCTCTTCAGTAAGGAGAGAGAGAAAATCAATTCAGTGGCCCAGCGTCATGGCTTTACGGTGGCTAGCTAGAGGCGGAGGATGTCGAAAGCTTGCCCAAGCCATGTATCTGGCTGGAGGCGAGGTTTGGTATGCACCTATCCTGAGGCAGGCATGGATTACGAATGGGCGATGCTGGTTGTGGTTTCGAGAATGATCAAAGGTTTGAGTACCTTATTAGCTACCTAGGTAGGTAAGGTAGCTACTTACCTACCTACCTACTCAGGTACTGCACTATAGCTTGGTAGGTATGCAAATGCGCTCAGACATCGAGTATTTCGACCAATGGATAACGGGGAGGATTGGGACCGATCACTGGGAGCGGGAGGGACGGAATTACCCTTGTTCTTGTTCGAGACTGGCGATTTAGCAGATTGACTTCTTTGGAGCTTAGCTGTGGATTCCTTGAGAACAGTACCTAGCTAATCGTCGCATGTAACCATCTAATGTCTGATTCTGTCTCATGATCACCTGTCATAGTCCCGAGCACGGCCACGCAATCAATCACTTCGGCGGACTAGAAGTGGTCTAGCTCTTGTCCACATATAATTCACTTGCTTTACATCTACCTACATATATGTACATATGCCTGGTTCACCTGGCAACCGGAGCCACCATGATTGGTGTCATGCGACTCTGGGGCACAGCACAACATGGTGTTGTTGGCCAAAGATGGACCAACATGCAGAGCGTTGAGCTTTGCTGTCAAGATGAACGAACGGTTCGTGACACAACTACCTGAGAAGAATGTAGGAACCATATCATCCAATCGACGATGATAACTTTGCATTTAAAGTGAGACGGTATATGTGTCTCAATACCAGCGGTTATGGAATGTCAACTCTCATCTCGAGGACATACGTGGTTTTGATTGGTTCACGCCATATGGTTACCGCTGGTGATGATGCAACGGAAACTCTGAATTGATCAATCGTTTGCAAACGAACTGTATGAGACTCGTCTGAGCGTCTCGTTTTGTGTATTTGCGTATTCGTATCGACAATCAATTGAGCGGTTAGAACAAAATATGTATGTATGTGAGAGTTTTAACATATGTAGATGATCCCCTTGTCCCCTGCAACAGCTACCTAGGTACTGTGTCGACGGTTGCTTGGGCAATGCGCCAGCAACGATATAACCCACCACGACCCTATCACCAGACGCCTCGAGCACCGCATCAAATCGACTCAATTCAACTCCACATGTATCATCCACCAAAAATCGCAGCCTTCTGAGGTAACTAGACATCTTCATCCCCGCATTGCTCCAGCTTTGCTGTCGATCAATCATAGGTCCGTCCATCTGCCGCTGCCAGACTGCCTCTGCAAATCACCACTTCCAACACTCGGATCAACCCCTTGCACAAGGTGCACAACCATAGTGCAGTCGCTTCGACGTCTGTAATAGTGCCACGGCTGTTGTGCTACTACTGTTCTACACCTCGTATCAACTCTACCAAGCACTGCTATCCAGCATCCGTTGCCCACCATGCGATACAACCTCATCCAAATGATCCTGCGCAGCGTCGCTCTGCTCATGACGCTCCTCCTAACGGCTCTCATCGGCAACGTCATGGCGTCAAATATTGACGCCGCAGGCTCTGCAACGGCTGCCGTCAACTTTATCATGTTTATCGCCATTGTCTGCTGGATCGTTTGCATCGTCGGCCTTCTCGCTTTCTTTGTTTCAGCTCTCGACAAACCACTCATGCAGCTACCATTGGATGGCATAGCTGTTCTTTTCACCTTTATCGGTGCTATTGTTCTTGCAGCAAAGCTACGTGTCGTCAACTGCGGAGATATTAACCCCAAAGCTCTGCCTGGAGACTGGATCGCCTGGGGCTCAGCAAGTGATGAGGGACGGTGCCGTCGACTACAAGCAAGCACTGTCTTCATATGGTTCCTATTCGCCTGCGTGTCTGGAAGTCTCCTTTTGACCATCAGAACTGCACGCAATCAGTTCGGCTCGCTCCGCAGTGCCGCTTCACGGCCATCAATGTCTCAGATTTCTTCAAGCGTCTGATGAGCCCTAAACACATCAGAAAACCATAATATAACGGCTCAGCTGCGTAAAGGGCGTCCGGTCATGATCTTGTTGGTTCTTTGCTCTGGTACCATCAGCGCAAGCGTCATGACCACAAACTCTGTGGAACACGATGTATGTGCTTCCTACAGCTCCGTTACACCAAAACCGCCGAGGGCACCACCAACTCTTGAGTACCAGTATCAAGTTGCATTAGGATATAGAGAGCGTTCGGCATTAAGGATTATTATACCAGGATTGTTAGATGGATTAGTCTTTTGGAAGGGGAGTTTGGACGGGTAGTTCATTCAGACTGGTGTTGGATGAAGGATGATGATCATGCAGTGAATGAAACTCTAATATAAGGACGCTTTTGGTTTTCAAGATTTCGCTGGATATCCGGTTGTTAATACACGATGTTCGTGCTAGAAGAGAGTCTCGTGGTTGACAGGAGGAACGAAACAAGCATATTTGAAATCATATATTATTGAAAGAAAGAAAACATATGCATATTTATACCCCAACACCTTATGAAAGCCATGCATATTACTCAGGTCATCCATTCATATCGAGATCGGATCGTCTGGTTTGAAGTATGTCTATAACGTAGCTGCTGTTTCCACAACACCCGCCGCCTTGAAGGTCGCCTTATTCGTCAATCGAATGTCGACGTTATGCGCCCACTCCATGTATCGAGACCAACCTAGACAACGGCTGGTTAGAGAACTCATCAATCTTGGATAAATGGTGATATAAGTAAGTGAATGAGTTACTCACTCCAGTAGGCAAATTTGCGACCAAAGTATTTACCCATCCAGGGCACAATCATCATTGTCAATATCAATTGTAGTTGTTCGAGGCTACGCTCCCACTCCGCTTGAGCATCGGTATCGGAGGTATCGGAGTATATGTCGTCGGTAGATATAGATGGGAGAGAGTCCAGATCGTCCTTGTCATCTGACATGGACGCATCATGGAGGTCAACGAGGGAGGAGTCGGCGGCCATGTTGGCAGTCGTGATGTGAGTGACCTCAGTACAGATTCGCTCAGCCAATGCTGTTCGGGATATGTCTGCCAACCACAGGACGTTGGGGATGTCTTTGGAGGGTCGTGAAGTTGGTATTGGGCGTCAGGTTGAGAGGTAGGTAGTTAGCTATTTTAGAGTAACTTCTTTGTTGAAAGACTGCTGAGTCCCAGGTGTTCCAAGTATAGTACAGTGCACGGAGATCGCTGCCGTATCACCAAATGTAATTGCGTCGCGATAATCAGCAATGAAAACTCCCGTCGGTCGAGGATTGATAGTCGTTATAGTTGTAAAGGCCGTAATCGCATCGGGGCCCGGAGCTAGGCTCCGACAAGAACTGGGGGAAGCTCTAACGAGCTTCTCGTTTGATTGGGTGCGGACCACTTTCAATATCATCACGTGGATATCCTCGTGACTCTCCATCGTGAAGCTTGGGGGCCGCCTGCGCTTTGGTTTGGGCTCTGGTTGACTCAAGGTATCGCTCACCCGGCCCATGACGTTGGACTGATCTCCCTCTACATCCTAAACCCACAACTAAATCCATCAAAGGAAGCGTACCAACAGCGCGCGCAAACTCTGCGATCCAAGAATACAAACGATATATCGTTGCGCGAGAAGCCCCAAGCCAAAGATCTTCGCAGTACCTTATACGAAGAAGCCGCCCATTTGCGACACCCACATCCAGCCAAAAACCCCAATATACCAGCAACTGGCCATTAACGGCAAAATCAAGAAACAGCCACATAGCAACCATGGAGGGCGAGGTGAGTGACAAGCCTGCAACAAATTACACATATGCTTCCTACCAACCCTTATTGAAGAGGCTGCTGGGACATGACACGAAATACAACCTACTGTGCCTACCCACTACAATACAGGCCTGGCTTTGAAGTTCAAATGCTTGTGCCATGCTTTTCATGGCGTGTCTTGTACCCTCTGAACCACACAGGCCCAATCTTTTACCCCTCCAAAACCCTCGAGTGCTTCATCAACGAGCCTATCAGGTTCCTCTTATCGCCCTTTACCCCACTACCTCTTGTTGGTGCGGCGAAAGTACCTCTGGTTTTGTTGTACACCACTTTCTGGGGAGAAAAGCAGGCGATTCGACATCGATTTATTTTACTGTTCAGGCCTTTGACTCACATTTTCCCAACCGCCACCTTCACATCATCATCTATCCTCTACAGCCACAAAACAACACCGCATCCCTCAATCGAATTTCTTACTAACCTCGTTATTCTTTTTGTTCTATTTACAGGTACCAACAGAACGCAAATCACGCAAATCCGTTGCCTTCACCGACGAACAAGTTGTTGTCGACGCTGACGGTTCAGTGACCATGGTCAACGCTACCGAAGAACCCAGGGATACGGCTCAGTCCCATACGCCTCGTACGCCGCCGCTTTCTGCCGCCCTTGAGTCCTTTACTGATTCGCAAACGACAGCCGCTGAGGACCTTCCCCCAGCTGAGGATGGTGGTCTCGACCTTTCCCTGCTCAAGAAGAAGAAGAAGAAGTCAAAGAAGGTCGACGATGCCGACGCCGACGCTGCCCCCGCTGACGATGCTGCACCTGCCGAGGATGGAGGCCTTGACCTGACTCTGAAGAAGAAGAAGAAGAAGAAGGCCCCCAAGGGCGATGATGACTTCACTAAGCAGCTCGAGAAACTTGAGCTCAAGGAGGGCGAGGAAGTCGAGGAGATTCCTCAGGAGCAGGAGGGTGACATGAACGAGGGAACCGGCATTTGGGCTCACGATGAGACCAAGACCATTGGCTACAGCATGCTCCTTTCTCGCTTCTTCCACCAACTCACCGAGAGAAACCCCGACCACACTTCCCCAGGAACCAAGAGCTACAAGATCCCCCCTCCCCAGTGCATGCGAGAAGGCAACCGAAAAACCGTCTTTGCCAACATCGCCGATATTTCTAAGCGTATGAAGAGAACCGAGGAGCATCTTACCGCCTATCTTTTTGCCGAGTTGGGCACCAGCGGTTCCGTTGATGGAAGCCGAAGGTTGGTCATCAAGGGTCGTTTCCAGCAGAAGCAGATCGAGAACGTTGTCCGAAAATACATCAGTAAGTTTTTGCAATTTTGCGACTGCGGGTTCCTGTTTGCTGATTCTCCCCTCTTTCAGTCGAGTATGTCACCTGCAAGACCTGCAAATCCCCCGATACCGAACTCAACAAGGGTGAGAACCGCCTTTACTTCATCACCTGCAACAACTGCGGCTCCCGACGAAGTGTTACCGCTATCAAGACTGGTTTCTCCGCCCAGGTTGGCAAGCGAAGAAAGATGCAGGGCTGAGCTGCTCCACGATCTTCTCTTACTTCCGATACTGCCCCGCCCACTGCCAACAAGGTTCTTGGCTTGGTGTTTTGGGGAGGGCATGTATTCTGGCAGTATTCTGTTCTAACTATGCAGTTGAGTCTATGCTGCAAATGAGCGGCTTCTTTCTTCAGCTGTATAGTCTCGATGACGGATGCATTTTTCGGATTTTGCTTTAGGCATTGCTAATGGCCGTCTGTTCCGCAAATTATGGTATTAGGGGTCAAAAGGAGTGATGCTGGACCGTACAACGGGTACCGGGCTGATGATGTGGCGTATGGATAATGTACACGATGCCGAAATGAATCAAGACTGCAGCCATGACCACAAGTCGCTTATGCATGAGTGACAGCAAAGAAGATACGTATTTGAATACGTTGAGTGCCATGATTTTATAGAGACGCGGGGTAGATGTGTACACAATAAGTATGCAAGTAAATTACATACCGAAAGGTCTTATTAACATGAGAACAGCGTATTTCACACGCCTTGATATGTGGTAATCCAACCACGAATCCACCCCTTGCTGTTACCTCGGGAAGTTTGTGAACTAGTACTCACACCACTACCTAGGGTGTGAGAAACAGCTTGTACAAAAAGGAGAAGCTCTGTAGCAACAGATGATTTTCCCCAGACGCAAAATAAGTACATAAAAACAATGCCCAGGTTATTCTCCTAGGCCAACAATAAAATCCCCTTTTTTGCTGTGCATGTATGCGTGTTGCATTGTAATGTGTATAGAAGTCATCTGCGTGGATATATGCCGTAATCATAACACTGGCAGCCATTCATGTCTCGATGCCACTTGGGGCATATCTCGAATGAGCCTTGTACTGTACAGGTGAGGAAAAATATGAGAGATTGACGAGTCGAGCATCAGCCTCCCCAGCAGCTGACCTAGAGCTGCCCACGAGAATTGGCAAGTTAGCTGCCATAATCAAATATTGAGCCACTCATTACAGTATTGTGCTCGGCAACTTGGGGGCCGGCAGCATTCTGAGTGGCGTTATCCAGCGTGCTGTCTAACTCTACTCGAGCGGCTTCGAAGGTAGAGCGGACCCATTCACCGAGACGATGCTTCTCCACATGCTGATGGAGAATCTTATCCTCCAGCTTCATGATGTCGATCAGCTTTGTCCGGAAAGATGCCTCAAAATCGCGGAACCGGCGGTCGAGGTTCTCGGTAAAAGCACCAAGAGCCTCGTGCGGAGACAGAGGTCGGAAAGGCTCATGTGGATCTTCTACATTCAAATCAGAATATGTTCCCCAGAAGTTAGATGAATATTTCACTTACGGAAGCTGATGCAGTCGGTTAGCATTGAATAGAGCTCAGTCTCTGCCAATCTCTCAACCACCTGACGATCATCCTTGAGCTGTGTGTCGTTGATCTTAGCCCAATCATCGCGTATAAATAGTCTCCTCCAAATCATCCGCTTAGCCTCTTTGACCTCGTCACTGTGGCAGCTACTCTCGGCAACCAAAAGAGCTAGCCAGAATGGATTGGGAATCTCAGCGCGGGACTCAGGCTTCAGGTAAATCAAGGTCAGGAGGTCAATGAGTGTCATTGCATCCAGAGCCTCGTGCTTTAGAAGCCGCCTCATGCCATCTTCAAATATCTGATGCTGGGCCTTCTGACGCCGCGGTATGTTCATGCTATGAACTTCCATTGCGAAATTAAGCGCTGCTGCGTCATCCACAGCATCGTATGTGCTGGGGAGAACCTGGTTGTAGAGTTGATCTTGGATCCTGATGGCAACTAACTCTTGGTCGACCTTCTTGAGTTTCTCCTCGGCACGCACCTCGTCGGCGTTCACCTTGAGGCCACCCGAACTAGTTTTCTTCTCCTCGAGCTCGGCAAGAAGAGCAAGCTTTCCGAGACTCAACTCAATCTTCTTATTCCATACTTGCTGTTCCTTGGTAAGTGCAAGGGTTACGAGAGTGTCTGCGCTGTGGCCGACGTCTTTCTCCTGCTGCACATCGTTGATCCACGATATTCGCGCCAGTTCAGGCTTGCTACGCAGAAACTGGGTCTTATAACCCAATTTGTCAAGATCGAATTCCAGGACAGCTTCAACTCCGTGTTTTTGGAGCAGGAACTCGTATGCCGGGAATGCAAATGACTGGCCGTAGACGGAGAAGCTGTTCTCCAGTTTGGCTTTCTTGTTGTCCCTCAGTCGTTTAAAGGTTTGCGTTTCAACAAGTGACAAGTCTGGCTCAGCAAGGCGATCTTCGAGCATTTGGATATGATCTAGCAAAATCATAGGGAGAGCACGGAGGCATTCGTGCTTCTCAGCAATAGAGGCTCCCTCCTCCCACCTGCCTGATCGCGCTAGGGCAAGGGGCTTCTCAAATGAACTCGTCTTGTATAGCTTAGCAAATTCCTGCGACATGATCTTTAGATCAGGGCGTGTTGCTGACCAACGAGCATATTCCAGAACTGAAGTAAGCATTCCATCGACGAGCGTTGGCATTTCTTCGAAAATCTTGGATTTCACCTTATGGTCCTGCTGATTTGGAGCCCTGGCCGGTTCACCTGAATCTTGATCCTTAAGCAACCATTGATCTGCGAGATCGACCAGACGTTTAATGTTGTTGGCAACGAAATGAGAACCAGTCCATGGCTCGGGAAGGTCGTCGTATCCGTCGCGAAGAATACCTAGGCGCAGTTCTTCAAAACCAAGACCGTAAGCGCTTAAGCTGTTCTTTCGGAAATCGAGCGCTGCGACATGCGTGCAAGTGTTGATTTGGATAGCTTCGTGGAGCATTGAAGTTAGCTTGGCGTCGTCAAGCAAATGCTCCCTATAGAGTGTCTTGATGACTTGATACGCCCAAGCTACAAGTATTTCGAGACGGAAAACATCCCGAGTAAACCAGTATCGAACTCGATCAACCTCACCAACCTCAGCAACAGGGTTGTGTTTATCATCTTGATGAATGAACTCGACAATATAACCAATAAGACTCTTCTTAGCATTCGCTGGTCGTGATGCAGTGAAGGCTTCGTGTCGTTTCCAGAGCAATGTAGCCACATGCATCTTCTCGGCATCATATAGCAGACTCCAACGTGTCTTACGATCGAGGTCTGCCCCCATGATCTTAAGCTGAGCTATCAATCTCTCCAGTGCAGTCGATCGAGCGCGGAGATTGTCCTCTAGCGAAGCCGGGAGAGTGGAGATAAAAGGAGTGTTTGAGCTCAAGATCTCGTGGCTAACTTCAAGTGCGGCATGGGCAACTTCTTCGTTGGAAAATTTGATTTCTTGTCGTCCGTCGAAAACCAGAGGATTGTCTTGTTTGACGCCGTAGAAAACGGCCTGTTCGATCTTGCTCTTCGCAGAAACCTTGGGGGGCTTGTCGCTAGCAAACTTATCCACGTCAGTTGTCACGATTCGCACTGCGCCGGCACCTCGAACCATGAGAACCACAGCGGGATTCTTTGTCCTAGGTCGATGAAGTCGATGCTCTTCGTGGCTAAGGGCTGGCGAAACTTCTTCAAATCCTGAGCCGATGATTTCATGTACATCGTCTTCGCGGAAATCAACAACATCTTCAAAAGCGGCAGGTAAAATGTGACTGTCGGTTTGGAGCTGCGACTCAGGAGACTGTGGTGGTACAGCAATTGATGCGATGACGGTGGCGCGATCGAAGACGACGAAAGCAACCAGGGCAGGGCGAGGAAGATATAGACGTGGTCGTGCGGTATCGGAGGGTGAAGATGGTGCACTATATGAGGTTATGGGACGGATCATCCCTATTTGGCATCCTTGGGGCGTCAGGATTGCTTCAACTAAAGCGTAGCGAGCCGTGCTTCGCAAAGTCAGGCTGACAAGTATCAGAAGATGCTGCACCGAGGAATCGTCGGTGGCCATGGCCTCACTGAGCCTACTCAACTCAAGGTACTTGGATTCCAAGCCCTTTGGCACGTAAGTGAAATCAACTGCCTCGAAAGAATCATGAGGGTATTCCTGAGATGCGGGATCGGTCTCCTGGAGGGCGGCGATGATAGTTTCACGCACGTCTGCGTCGCCGATCACCTCGTTATGACCTCCGCGGTGGACTCTCCATGCATGCAGTCGGCCTCTGCTGGTGAGGGCCACGATGTTTCTCTCGCCTGTTCGGGAGGATCGGTCCGCGCGGACAGCCGCAACATCTCCTTTGAGAGACAAGTGTTGAAAAGCATGTCGAATGCTGCCAAAGATTCCACCTGTAGAGGGCGACAGGCTGTTGCGGAGAAATTGTACAGAAATGGCAGGGCGGCCTTGGCCGTCACGAACATTCATGTAGGCAAGGCGACCAGAGTTGAAGGTGAGGATAAATCCGGCGGATTCGGCGTTCGTGATTGCCACAACCTTTTCCCCAGTCTGCATTCCCGATATAGTGTACTCGACTCCAGTCCGATCCTTCTTCATGAAGACAAATGTAGCCGCACTCGCAATCGACTCCCAATAGACGACTTTTCCACTGCCTCCCATGACCACAACCAGTCCAGGCTCTGCTGAGGACGCAGACGGCGATACGAGGCATCCCACAGGAAGGGAATCATTGGGTTTGGACGTTGATGGGAGGTTGAAGGAAAAAGTTTCGGGTGATTGCGATGTCGACGTGTACGGCCAGACAAGGGCGTGTGTTTGGGTGAGAGAAAGAGCATAGCCTGTGGGGAAGATATCGGCAGTTTGGTAGGCTGTGATGATACGGATGAGTACGTTTTCGAGAACTAAAGTTGTGGTATCCAGACTTACCGGACCAATCTGTACGAATCCTATCAGGGAGGGCTGGAAGCTTACTGACGCAGTATGCGTTTGTGCTTGTCTGGACAATCTCACCGTTAATATGCAGCAGCATCATCGCAACAAAGAAAATATCAATTCTTACCAAAACGAGACTTCCGTCGCCTTTGTTAGCGGCGCGGTCACCGTGCTTTGCCTTCTTCGCGCGAACATTCAGTTCCTTGCGCAGCACTGGGCTGGGGCTCTCGGGAGGCTCAATGTTTTTGTTTTTGTTTTTGGCAGGTAGAGTTGCGACCTTGCCATCGGTCTTTACCTCGATCATTTCCTGCTGAGCATCGGGGTTGACAAAAGTCTGCTCTGTCAAGGGAACTCTTTGTCTCTTGGCTTTTGGCTGCTGGGCGACATGTTCGGAGCTCAAGGGACGTTGGCGGCGGCGTGAACGAGTGGCCGTCGCAGGGCCACCCTGAGCGACAGATGGAGAAAACATTTTGGGTGGATCGCGAGCTGGACACGGAAGGGGTCGATATCGATGGTTGTAACAAAGAAAGAGGTCGCGAAATAAAACGTGCAGTGTCAAAATGGCGATGGAATCAGCCGCGTGGTCATAGAGGCATCTTGCGGCGTCAACGTGACGGGTGATCGTGATGGATCGTCGACGTGAACGGAAGAGTGTGAGCGGTGGACTTTGTGATGGATGGGATGGATGGAGAGAAAACTGGCGTGGCCTTGCTTGGGATGTGCTGGTCGAAGCCTGTAAAGAGCAGTGACGAAGCGTGTACCGGGAGCCAATCGAACAACAAAAAAGCTGGCTGGTTAACCTAGCTACGGAGTCTGGCGCGCTATGATTGGCTCAAAACTGGACGGTGCCTTTCTCGAGGTGTGCTAGAGCTGCTGCTATGAGCTGGCATTGCCTTGAAGCCCCTTGAAAGCTTCAGTTGGTCAGTCGCACAGATACCAATCAGAACCTTTATGTTCAGCCGCTAGTCTTATGTACCCCACTGGAGATTGCATGCAGAAGGTTTCCATGTTGCAGAGCCTCTGTTTAAGGTACCTTTTGGCTTGTGGTACCTTACCTTAGTCAGAGCTGAGGTTGAGACAAAGCCTTGCGATCAGGTATTCTTGGCCTCTCGATACATCCATTCGGTCCCGTCGAACTCGACCTTGGATGGGTGCAAACAACCATCATCAATTGGTTCTTTCTGTTCGGGTCACAAATGCATCTGATCATTCCACCAAAGGTTGTTTTTTTTTTTCCTTTTTACCGGTGATTCCTTGCGAATATGGGAATATCTTACCCTTTTACCACCCGCGAAGGAACCTTGATGCAATATGCTGGGCACATTGTTGCAAAAGCAGTTAGGGACCAAAACTTGAGACCTTGGCAGGGAATGCCAAAAATGGACTTACTATGGAGTTTCCTGCAGTTTATGATGCATAGGTATCTAGGTAGATTAGCTCAGTCTGTCTGCCATTAGGATCAATCTTCCCAGTTTTCTCACATCCCCTAAGGGCGGGTATGTCGGGTGTCAGGCAGGTCATAGGTAGTCTCCAGGTAGTCTCCAGGTAGGGTTCGCAATGATTTTCTCTTTCATGAAGTTGATTGTGGTGGGATTCTTTGATGGAAGATTGTAGTATACCGTTAGGGTCTCATGTTATTGGTGTAAGGTATACTTGGAGCTTTGTGGAATTATACGTGATATACAGTCCTCCATACCTCTAGGGTAAGGCACTTCAATTTAAGTCGATGATGCACATGGCTTTTCCGATCTGATAACGGTCAAGTCGAACAGATGATCGTGAAATTCAACAATCGCCAAATGGCATTACGTCCAACGGTTTCATCTTCACTCCAACGTACAGTTGTCAGATATAATCCTAACGATTATACCACTACCAACGTCCGCATCAACCATTTTGAAGCCTTAATCTCCAGCGAAACCACGTGGCCAGCAAAGATCCTGTACCCGCTAAATCCATCTACTTATTAGCTCATCATTCAACGTTCATGGTGACGGGCTGATAAGAACCTGAAAATGAGACGGTTTTCCACGGCGGTAGTCATAACTGATCCACTCGTCAAGTATCAGGCTCATGTTGCTGCTGGTCTCTACGCCCCTGACCCATCTCAGCATAGGCTCGCACGGCACTTACACAAGGTATACACCCGAATCAAAGACTACTCCCCCCAGGCAGAGTATCGCCAGCGCCTGAGCCAAGTAGCCCGCCTCACAGAGGCAAAGCCCAAGGAAGAAGCAAAAGACGATAGTCAAAATATCCTTGCGTTACGGAATCACTCAATATGGCGGAACCCACTGTTCAGGCACCTCCTCTCAACACCCGAAGGAAAAGAGAGTCTCGCTTTGACACGGACACTCACAAACCATGAGTCTGCTATCGAGATAGATTCACCTCGAGGATTATTCTTGTCAGGAGAAGTTGGCACTGGAAAGTCAATGCTCCTTGACTTACTCGCTGAGGGCCTACCAACTGAGCGGAAGAGGAGGTGGCACTTCAATACATTTATGCTATACACTATTTCACAACTCGAGCAGCACCGAAAGACAACTTCCAGAGCCAGTGAAGGCGAAACAGACTACTCCATATTATGGATGGCCAAAAAGCTGGTCGACGAATCCCCAATCCTCTTTCTTGATGAATTTCAATTGCCCGATAAAGCAGCCAGCAAGATTCTCAGTCATCTTTTCATCTCATTCTTTCAGCTTGGCGGTGTTCTTATCGCATCTTCTAATCGTATGCCGGAGGAGCTTCAAAATGCCATTGGAGTTGATTACACGCCCGCACCGACAAGGGGGCTGATTCGCAAGTTCTTTGGCAGTGCAGTTCGGGCCCGAGGGGAGCTATATGGATCTACCAGCGACTTCGCAAACTTCCTTGAAGTTTTAAAGGCTAGATGCGACTTTTGGCAAATAGAAGGAGCTAGAGATTGGCGAAGAAAGGAGGAAACGATCAGTCCGCCAGCTGTGACCGGAGATGCTGTCGAAGGTGAAGCCAGCATGCAGGAAGTGCATACTCAGGACAAGTCTGAGTCTGGCGACAAGAAGCCAGTCAACTATTATCTATCCAAAGATGAGCAGGACAAATGGCGAGAACGAGTCGAGACGGCTGTGGCGTGGACGGGGCCTCAACCTTTGCCATGGGAGCCATCGATCATAGTGGTATATGGTCGACAGGTACACACACCTCGACATTACAACGGCTACGTATTATGGGACTTTGAGAGCCTTGTGGAAACATTCGGCCCAGCTGATTACATTACAATGGCCTCTACTTACCATACGTTCATCATTGATAATGTTCCCATTCTCACGCACGCAAAGAAGAATGAAGCAAGACGTTTCATCACGCTCTTAGATGCCCTATACGAAGCTCGTTGCAAACTGATAATCCGAGCTGAAAACCCACCAGATACTCTCTTCTTCCCAAAGATGAAAACCCCCGCGATTGAGAAGACAAATAGCGCAAATGAGCCAGACAACCTCATATCCGAAACAATTGCCGAAGTCTATCAGGATCAAATGTCTCCATTCCGACCGAATGTTGCCTATTATGACACAAAGTCGAGCACCTCCTCATATGATCCCGACCAGGACTCTGATTTTGGATTACAGAAAAAGGCGGTTGATTTTGCAAACACCAGTGCTTTTACCGGAGAGGATGAGCGTTTCGCGTATAAGCGAGCAACCTCTCGGCTATGGGAACTGTGCAGTGCACAGTGGCATGCCAGGACAGGAGATTGGTGGCAACCGCTGCCTATCGAGGCTCGGCACTGGGAGGGAGGTGAAGTCTCACAGCGCTTTGTACATAAGATCGGCGCTAAGCGACTGAGCGAGAATGAGGGCATGGGCCAAAGTTTGGAGGTTGATGAGATGGCTGGGTTATCAAAATGGAGGGTCGAGGATCTCAGGAACTCCGACAGGAGAGCGTAGAGCACCACCACCCAGCTGAATAACAGAGAAGCAAGCGTATAGTGCATACAGTTACTTGAAAACAAGCAGACATAACCCATTCCGTGAAAATCAGTTGCTCATACGAGAGCAATATCTAGGTAGTCTATGACCGGATATACCGTTATGCTAGACTCCAAAACGCCATGCACCTGTATCTTGCTTGGTCTACTCATACACTACCCAACCCGAGCTCAGCTTAGAGGTTTGTCACGCCTGGGGTCCAGCCCTCCCCTATCCTCTTTATGTCATCAGCAAACTTGCGACTGGTGATCTTCTTGCCCCCTCTCCCGCCCAGGGGAGCATGCTCATCCGGGTCATAAAATGGGTTCTGTAACAACTTGACATATGCATGCTGCATGGCGCGAAACACGGGCTTAAGCTCAGCATCGCGTAGGCCTGCAGCAGCGCCCCGACTTGCAGCTACCGGGGCATTACCATCGACACGCCGACCGCGCATATCGACAAGACAGACCATTCGAACGCCTGTGTTGGTCTCGAAGCCGTAGGCGGCAAGGCGGTCATCCACAGCGTGGAGAAGCCCAAAGTCTCCCGAGAGGCCAACCCCTGAGACTGCGTTGGTCTTTGCGCGCAGATCAAAGACATCGATGGTAGAAGAGAGCAGGAGGGAGAACTGGAGAGGTGTGCGAATCGGAGCGAACGTATTTGTTACTGGATCGAGCGAGGGGAAGATGGAGATATGGAGGGGATTGTTCTGTGTGTAGCCATGGCGCGTCAGCGGATGTTCAGTGAGAATCATAGCAGTTTGGTGTTTTATACTGACATTTCGGCCGATAACGCCTAGACAGGCGATTGAAGGTATTGCGGTGGACATGGTTATTACAGCTTGTTGGCGAAGATGAAGGTTGAAAGAGGAAGCTCGGCTTAGTGGGAGCCTCCATGCTCGCTTGGTGCCTGCGGGCAGCCTTAACTTGTAATCCCCACCAGTCTCTAAAGTCAACATAATGAACAGTGTGCAAGGGAAATGAACATTCAGATTGTAGTAAATATGAGATTCATTTCTGATCGCAATACTGGAAATGTCTATCGTAGTTATAGTCCCAAGCTTGAAGCATGATGAGGCGGCTGGAGGCTGGAATGTCTCGCTTTAGTTCGATTGTCTGAAACCGGCCATCAACTGAGAAACCATTATCCCTACATATATATTGTTCACGGCATGGGTAAGCTGCACAAAGTCTTCAAGTACGTATACAGAACTGCTTGGTATCCATATGTTTATGCTGTCAAAACAATTCAATAATCGTGAAAATTCATAATCGCTTGCTTGATGCAGCATATCCCACCCTATTAACGTACACCCCGAATTCATGATAGGTGGTGAATAGTTCCCAATAAAGAACAATGTGACGACTCGCTCAAGGCTTGTATATATCCCTGGTACAGCCAAGCTCGTGCTTTTACTCTGAATACTCATCATCTTCCATGAGATTCGCCGTATCTTCAAGCCCTCTCAGAACCTCCTCAACCTCAGATGGATCTGTAATAGCCCATACGCCCCCTCCCTTCACAAGGTCCTTACCGCGCATGCCAACCTCTTTTCCGACAAGATTGCGGCCGACCTTTCCAGGCCCGACGCCGACCCATCGTCGTATGCGCGCCTCTTGATCTAGGTATTTGATGCTGTCCCACCAGCGAACTGTATCCAGACAGCCGCGGGCCAGCAAATCCTTGAGCTCCTTCTTACAGCAGACTGGCCGCGCAGACACGTTGCTCACGATGGGCAATTTGCCTGGGAATGTCACAACGTCCTCCTTTTCGCGGCCCTCTACCCTGCTGGGTTCTTCTAGGAGCTGGCGCATTACGGTGACTGCCGGCTGCATGATGGGACTGTGGAAGGGACTGTCGGCTTTGAGACGGACGGCGCGCGGATCGTAGCCAAGGAATTGACGGACGTGGGCGATAAGCGTCTTTATACGCTCAATATTTCCACTCAGTACAATCTGATTCTTGCTGTTTATGTTGGCTATCAAAACTTGTTCAATCGGTGGCAGGTCGGCCTGGTCTTCAGCTGAGATGCCGACAAACTCTCGAATGGCCTGAATCAAGCTGTCCATGTGTTCTGGGTGGGATATAACTGCCACCATGCCATACTCGCCACCATACTTTTCAATTGCATGTTTCGTGGCGTCCGACATGGCCTCTGCCCGTTTACGAACGAGGTGTAAACTGTCCTGGAAGGAGATATAGCCGCCCGCGACGACAGCAGCAAATTCACCTAGTGAGTGTCCCAGTGTCACATCGAAGTGGTCGGTGACCCTGAAGTTGAATTCGCGTTCGAGGATACGCAGGATGAAGATGGACGTAGCCATGATGGCCGGTTGCGCATTGGGTGTCTCAGTGAGAAGCTTTGATGGCCCGTTCTGAATGATGTCGGAGAGCTTGTAACCCATGTATTCGTCGATCTCGTCTCGTAGCTGCGATGCAGTCGAAGGGAAGGCCTCGAGCCATGGATTCAGCATGCCAACCCGCTGAACGCCCTGGCCGGGGAAGAATAGGGCTGTTCTGGTGCCTCCGCGATGTGTAGAACGCCATCTTTGCTGTGACAGTTGACGCTTTGGTTGTTGCTGCTGCTGCAAAGCCTGCAATGACGGTCGACTTGAGCTTTGTGAGGAAACAGGAGAGCGAATATGATTAGCTATTGTGTAAGTGCGACGGCACCGCATCGTGGACATCGCGAGCTTGTCCATGGCCGTCTGAGCGGCGGGGCAGAAGATAGAGGTCAGGATGGACAAAGTGAAGATCTCATTCTGAGGAGAAATGCGTAGGCAAGTGGCACGCAAAAGGGTTACAGGAGGAGAAAGAGCATTCCTACTTGCAGTCGACGAAATAAGAAATCAGTCCCAGGTCCCAGACCAAACCCACGAGACTGATCACCCTTTGGGGGCCCCAGGCTTTGGGCCCTCTAGCCCTCCTAGTCTACTCGGTCTAGGTCTGGGGTTCGGGAGTTTGCGTGACGTCGGGGTAATGCTAGTGGGACAGGGTACGTACTGATTCCTCGGAATTGGGGGAGTTCTTGAATTGTCATGAACACCATCGGGACGGGTTTCCCCTTCGTCCATCCAATCATATCGCGATCGCATTATCCTTTGCGTGATTTGGGGTTCCGGGACTGCCCCCACACTTAGAGCCGATGCCCCGACCTCATGCGGCTTCGGAGCTCCGTCGCTCCTTGGGAGGCTCTCCGAGGTGATACTTCCTAAATTTCCCTTTCACTCCCGCGGCAACGAGCCATTACATGCAGAAGTACGACAGGACAGGTACGTTCTTTTTGCTTTTGTCATGACTTCTACATCTTCTCCTATTGGCCCGCGAGTACGGCTAACAAGACACCTGGCTCAGCACAGCATCTTGAGTCTAAGGTATGTTTATGTTTGTGTTCCCCCCATCTCGTCTCGTCTCCTTAATTAACATCGTATCTCCACACCTCCCTTGCTGACTGTCAAGTATTTGACACCCTTGTATGGCTTGACACTATCTCCCAGGCCCTTACTCTTGCGTGTGTCGAGCTGAATACTCTCGACCTTCAGACCACTGGCCAGCCATCCCTTGACCGAGAAGCTTACTGAGGCCGATGTGGGCATCAGGATTTTGTTCTGTGCGATCTTCTTGGCGTCCTTGTCGTCGCCTGTGCTCTCCGGGTTCTGCGCCGCCTTGGCAACAGGGACGCTCTGATACGGCCCGTCGAATGTGTAGTCAGTTCCAAATCCAAATCCGTTAGGATCGAATCCCCCTTCGCCCTCCTCTGCCCGCGGTCCCACCACAGTACCCCTGAGTCCAAAGTAGCTTGTTCCGACTGAGAGCTCCTTTGCGGGAATATACCATTCCAAGACCTTCTCTCCTGGATTAAAGCTGGCGTCGCCCTTGCTAGGCCGGATCTCAGATAGGTTCCTGACATCTGCCGGGAGTGGGATTGTCACAGTGAGGTCGTCCATCAAAGGCGCTCCTGGCGACCCAGGATGAGGTCCGCCTAAACGGCCTCCACTGCCGCCTCTTCCCAGTCCTGATGATGCTGGAGAGGGTGCTCCAAGAATCTTGTTGACCTGTAATCGGACTTCGAAATCAGACCCTGTTGCACCTAAACCTGTTTTCACTTCCATATTAATCGGTAACTTGAGGTTGTTGGAGCTAAGACTTCCGCTCTTCCCACTTGAAAAGGGCAGTAAATCAACTTCATAGCCAGCCAGGATAAATCGTCCATCAGGTGGAATGAAGCTGAGTTCACCTGGTCTCTCTTTCCACCGGTTGAGCCGCACGCACGGGTGGAACACTGGTAGTTCCATGATGCCCCCGAGGTTGTGTTTTCCTGATGGGCTCGTGATGTTAAGCGTAATATCAGGAACGCCTGATACCTTTGAGGTGAATGCGATCGTTCCATTGGCAAAGGCAGCGAGAGGTCTTCCTGATGGAGCAAGCGTTACTGACAAAGTTTCGACGATATCTGCGTACATCTCATTTGACGTGTGCCGTACGTTGGCTCGCCTCCACGGTAAAGCGGTTGAGTTCGGGGGCAGGATGGACGGTGTGCTTGAACTCGAAAAATTGGCGCCCAGAGGAGCTTTTCTGGCCACAGGTTAGCTCAGATATCAATTTTCTAGAGGGCTCAACGGTTCACCAACCCTGGAAGATTGATACTTCCCAGTAGTTTTCCAACCCAGCCTTCTTGCTCTACTACTTCACGTAGGGCGTTCGGTTCTGTTGTGCTTATCGTACCTGCGTCACACATCTCTGTTAAGAGCTGTGCAACTATGTCGTAATTATTCTCGATCTTGACGGCCAGAAGTGGCGCGCCAAGAAAGTCCTCGAATGCATCTATTATACGGTGTAGGAACTCAAAGACTAGCAATGGTTCGATTTCGGTCGACGATGTAGCAAGAAACAAGAGGTTCGCATGCGTCAGACTGAAGACGAGCGTCGAGGGACTCGTATTGGGGAGGTAGATCAGGTTCGGTCGCGGTAAAGGGTGTTCTAGGTAGAGGGGCAGGAGATGAGTTGCCGACAACGGCCTCCCTGCGTAGGTATGTGATAGAATAGGGTTTCTGCGGCAAAATGTTAGATGATCTAGGTGCCTTATCGTTCAAACGCTTCTACGAGACGTACCGGTTGTCGTCATAAATGTGAAGTGCCTCAATAACTCCGTTCATGGTGATGACCTCCCTCGAAGTCAGTGCGTTAGGCAAGTAGGTAGCTTCGCTTTGTGCCAACGACAGTCCAAGCAATGACGAAACTCACACTAAAACTCAAGCTAGACAAGGATGACTCAGCAAACAGCCCGAAGTTCATCTGCCAATCTGCCCAATCAAAGTTTGGTATCACGCGGCCCGCCTCAACCTCTGTAGTTGTGATTAATTCAAGCGCCAGTTTGTACGAAAACGCCCAAAATGTCCGACAAAATACCGACAGTCCAGGCTCTTGAGAAGCCAGAGAAGCTTGAAAATATCCTGCGCCAGGACAGAGGAGATGATTGCTTGCCTTGCAAAGTCGTTGGTTAGTTTTCAGAATTTGGCTGTTGCGATCTCTTACGACTCAGAATAACCTAACATGGCGATAGGAAGCGGCGCATTCTTTGGCCTTGGAGCTTACAGCTACTTTTCCGGAATGTCACAGCTTGATAAGCAAAAGGATTTGATCCTACGGAGCAAGTCACCATTCGGTATGAGAAGTCGCAAGTTTGGAATCACATCCATTTCGCTTGCGCTGGTGTGGATGGGACTCTGGCGAGCTTTCAAGTAATCAAGGATATACAATATGAGTCATGCAGCGAACTCATCTCAATTCTAATGCGCATCCCCTTGTATAATAGCTCCCGGTGCGATTCTTTATAGCCAGTTCTAGCTTCCGAACTATCTTCTACTTGAGAAAATCATGTGTTAATCCTATGTTGTACAAGTGGTTGGCCGCTTATTTTGTCGCTTAGCCTGCGATACTGAAAGCATACTATTCATATTCCCATCTTCGCACATCAGTAATTATAGCGTATGGAGCAAGAAAGGGAGGGGAGATACACGAAGGAAGAATCAATGGTGTTTGAGAAACTACAGTATCTTAAAGCACATACTGAGAAAGTCGTAGTTTTAATCGTTTGATGTCGAGTCACTAAGACCACAGAATTGGTTAGGAAAATTAGGATCCCAAGTAATCGAATAGAATCCTAGTGACAGTTTACCAAATTACGGCTGTGTTATTGACGGGTTGACATTATGTCGCTAGAGCTCTGTATAAGCTGCTGTGCTGTGTTGTAACTTGTAAAACACTAAAATCTCAACTTCAAAGCCCCACATCGAATCTTTAACCATACTCATTCATCAATACCCAAAAGCGACGACAGAGACTGAGAGGCTCGCCAGCCAGAACCTACAGAATACCTCTCGTTGTACCCGAAGACAACATATTGAAGGACCTATTCAAAGCCTTTATACGGTCATCTGACCGCAACAGCCAGCTCATATCTTGCTTTGCCATCTCACCATCATCTCACCATGCCTATCACAATCCTCAGCCCTCAGCCTCCCACGCCTCGGAGACCACAGGCTGTTGCAGCTACAGGCTCTGACTCCGACTCCGACTCAGAAGGCGGCGCTGGTGTTGCGGCTGACGACATTCTCACTCCAGGCGCTGAGATAACTTCAAATGCCCAATGGATGCGGTAAGCTTCCAGCACGTCAAACCTCACAATTCTTTATGTCACTAACTTCTTCTCTAGTGGACATGGTACTTACGTGCCGTCTGGATCATCATCTATCAAATCTTCTCTTGCTGGTACCCTCACAAAGACAAACAAGCTGCTCTCTGTGCGGCCTCTCCGAGCCCGTTACACTCCGGAGATTGGTGACTTGGTTGTTGGTCGGATCGTCGAAGTTCAAGCAAAGCGGTGGCGTGTCGATGTAGCCGCGTCTCAGCTCGCCATTCTCCAAATCTCAGCCATCAACTTACCTGGTGGTATTCTCCGCAAGCGTACCGAGACTGATGAGCTTCAAATCCGCAGTTTCTTTGCCGAAGGAGATCTTGTTGTCGCAGAGGTCCAGCAGCTACACCAAGACGGCGCCGCGAGTCTTCACACCCGCAGTTTGAAGTATGGTAAGCTTCGCAACGGTGTCTTCGTCGCTGTCACTGGCACTGGTGGTGGCGGTGGTGTCGTTCGATCCAAGAGACAGGTCTGGACAATGAATGTGGCCAACGCTGGCGGCAAGGTCGATGTCCTTCTTGGTGTGAATGGATACATTTGGATCAGCAAACATATAGAAAGCGACCCGGCCGCTGAGGCAGCGGGCATCAACCGTATGGAAGAGAGTGTGAGCAGCAAGGTCTACTCGAGTCAGAATGATCCCATGGAAGTGTCGACCATGCGCGAGATTGCGCGAATCCGCAGCGTCATCCTGGCCCTTGTTGAGAACGGGCTTAAGGTGGATGAAGATACAGTGACCAGAGGATACAGTGAGGCAGTGGATATGGTTCGTGATACCACTGATGACGACCTGTACCTAGGAGGCAACAAGGGACAGCACCTAGCAGCCGTTTTGACTGGCCGTTAATGCTTATGTACATATTCAAAAGTCCTCGTGGCTATTGGCAATATAATACAAGATACCACAACCTCAAGTTTCAGTTTCAGTTGTTTGAATCCTTAACACCTTGATCAGGTGCATTGGGATGAACTTTAGAGAGCATAGATGTCGCCATGATGCTTACAGAAACTAAGGTAGAACTATTGATCATTTTACAAGTAACCGTACATACGAGGGTATCCTCCACTCCAATTACCACTGTAACTGCTTTCCTTTTCTCACCAAACGGTGTTAGACCACCGAATCTCGGGAGCCCCCTTGTTGTAGCAAGGTTTTCTCATGTTATATGACTGGCTAGTGAGAGGTAGGCATTAACTATATGATTATCGTGTGAGCAATTGGCTCAGAACACCTTTCTTTGCTTCCAGTATGGCGGCTGCAACCACAAGGACGGCCCACCTGAGAAGAGCGCCCTTGGACTTCTTTGATCCGAGACCGAGGACCAGGGCAAGGAAGTATGTAATTCCCTTGGTTTTGTTACCGTTTCGGTCAAAGTTAGGCTTTGAGTCGGCAACAGCCTTCATTCGGTTCATAACGGGCCACTGGTATGGCATGTATCGCACGCGAAACAGGAAGTCAGCCCAGTAAGGGACTTCGGCGATAGTACGCTGATGGCTAAAAGTTCTGATAGAGTAGATGCCATGATAGTTGCCCATTCCAGACTGGCCAACACCTCCCAAGGGCGACTGTGGAATCTGAGAGTGGAAGAAGGCATCGTTACATGTGGCGCCGCCGGAGGTAACATTATCCAGAACTATAACGTGTTAGGTATAATGTCAAAAGGATTGTAGAGGTCAACGTACTCTTATTGTTCTCGGCCTTGCTTCCAAAGGCGCTAAGAGAGAGTGGTGTCGGGTCAACTGTATTAGCAATGTCGATGGCCTGGTCAAGGGAATCAACCGCCATCATTGCGAAAATGGGGCCAAACGCCTCTTGGGTCATCATACTGTCGTTGATGTCGTCAACAAGCACCGCCGTTGGCTCCATGAAGAGGGTCGACTCGTCCATGGAGCCACCGAGGACGATCTTGCCGTTGGTGCCATCAAGCATCTTCTTGAGGCGGTTGAAGTGGCCAGCATTGACGATGCGGCAAAGGTCAGGGCTGTTTTTGGCACCTTGGGGGAAGAAGGTGCGCATCTGGTTGTTGAGCTCCCCCAAGAATTGAGAAAGAACACTTCGCTCGACGAGGATGTAGTTGTGAGACATGCAAACCTGGCCTGCATTGAGAGATTTCTGCCACAGAAGTCGTCTGGCGGCCAATTTGAGGTTGGCATGCTTGGTGACAAAGGCCGGGTTCAACCCACCGAGCTCGAGAAGCACAGGAGTCAGGGTCTCGGCAGCCTTCTGGGCAATAATCTTGCCGACTGCCTTGCCACCGGTGAAGCAAATCTTGTCGAACTTCTGCTCGAGCAGAAGTTGAGTCTCGGGCAAAGCACCATTAACATATGTGAAACATTCGGGGTCCAGGGACTCGTCAAAGATCTTCTTGAGCACCATGGCACAGTTGGGAGATGATTCAGAGGCCTTGAGAACAACACAGTTACCGCAAGCGATCGCGCCAATGACAACAGGGAGGTTGAGCTGAAAAGGGAAGTTGAAGGATCCGATGTTGAGGACAACACCGAGTGGTTCGAAGCGAGTGCGGTGCTTCATGGCACGGAACTGCAAGGGAACATTGGGGACAGGCTCATCGCGAAGCCATTTTTCCATGTTGTTGACCATGTCGATACATTCTTGCTTGCACCAATCAATCTCGGCCAGAACGGCCTCGTACTTGCACTTGCGAAGATCTTTGATGAGAGCATCTTGCATCAGTTCAGTGTTGTCGACGATAGCCCAGTACAGCTTGCGAATCTGCTTCATGCGAAACTCCATGTCTTTGGTACGGCCCGATCTGAAGGTCTTCCTTACGAGATCGACCTTGGCGGCGATCTCATCGAGAGGCGTGTGCTCTAAAGGAGCAATGGTATAGGATGAATCGTTGGCAGCCATGTTGATGAGTGAGTGATGTAGAAACGTGGTTGGTTGGCGGGATAGATTAAGTGCTGACGCCACTGCCTGTGCTTTGGTTGGTGTCGATGTATGAGATCCTAGATGTGGCTTGTATGATGGGTAAAAGACAACACCTTGTCTAAGAAAAGTAGGGGATTTTTGGGTCGGATTGTAGTGATGAGTCTGAGAATGCGTTGATAGAGAACCTTCTCCTGATTAATCAGGCTACCTTGCCCAGACAGAAGTCGAGATTGGGTGGATTCGTCAGCTCTAGGAGGAGTATTCAACCAATATTTCTGCGCAGCCTCAATATAACGGTCATAGACTCTAAGCAAGACCGAACCAGTTGCTGATGTGAAAGACTACCTAGGTAGGTAGATACGATCGCGAGACGTAATAAAGAATATAAAGGAGCCAGGACAATCGATTCCAGGGGATGCAAATGAGGGGCTCGTTGTATCGAACCCCGGATCGCCTCCCTCGGCAGCCCATCCACATCCACGTGCTGGATCATGCCGAGGCACAGTCTCGTCGAGAGCTCGAAGTCGCAGTATGGGTTGAACTGGTACAATGTCTGACAATGACGATCATTTACAGTACCTTACCAGTCGGTGCCCGCGCGCATTTGGGCCCTGCACGCTCTAAGAGCCACCAGCCCTACCTCAGGAACGCCCGCCTGTCTGTTTAACTAGTGCTAGCCCGATGGCCGAATCTCTCATGAATTCGACTGGATCTTAGACCAGTTCTTTACTCCTGACCTATAGTCAAGACAGGAGACATCAGTGTAATCATTGGACTTCACTGTCTCTTCTATTAATATTTCCCTCGATAAGCACGGCTCGAATCAAGTTGACACTTGACGTGATTGCTGCTGTGTTTATTACTCCGTACTCCAAACCTTTAGTTTAGTTAGTGTACCACAATGCCACCTATACGCACATCTCGCATGGTAGGTCTGAAACCGGCATAGGCTAGGATAGGGTGCTCTCAGGGGGCAAGAAAACACCGGACCTTAATAGACGGTGTCAAAATAAACGTAGTAAAGAGTCCCCTGACCTTCGGCTAGATTTACCTAAGCATTTTTATCGCTTAGGGTCAAGGTCCTGAGTTTTCTTTCCTCCCCTAGGGTGCTTTTTGGGCGTTGCCCATCTATTACACCAGTATTTTCCAAACTGGCATGATCTTCATCACTTTGTTGGTCTGTAGCAAGAAGCAGCCCGCGACCCGGGCCCACCTTTTAAGGTGGTGATAACTTCACTTTAAGCTCCTCGTGACAACGGTGATAACTTCGCCTATGATCCTGCTCCCATTAACATGTCTTTCTCGAGTCCCTTCCTTTCTAAGACCCTCGCCGCCAGCTCCTCCACTACGTCTTTGACCCCATCTCCCCAAAGTGCCGACACAACCCCAAACTTAGCCCCTAGCAACACCGACAGTTTCCTCCCCTCTCCTAACCCCCGCTCCCATACGCTCCCCGCGGCCTCCGCGCCGTCGGCCTTGCCAGCAACCACGGCCGTGGGCGGCGCCGCTTCTCCTAAGTGCGGAGCCAGTACTTGGAGCCGTATGCGCCGAAGCTCTTCCAGGCTCCCGATGGAGGAGCCGTCATATAGCAGGATTAAAGCGTCCGCTTCCTTTGCTATGCGGCGGGATTCAGGAGCAGATTGAATAAATGTTGATGGGATGCGCTCAAGGTTGATGATGGTCGGGATGCCAGAGATGTTCGCCAGACGCCGGTCCCCGGATGTTTCGGTAATGGGATCATACAAGTCTGTGAAGACATCTTGACAATACTGGCACACTAATTAGCAAATACCCTCTCATAAGAACGAACGAACACCAACGCAGCACTATCTGCTCGTCGTCTTGCACTGAGTTAACTCACTCTCCGTATGAAGCTCTTCTTCCCAGAGGCCGGAGCTCCAAGAATAATAATGTTGACCAGGTGTTCCGTCTGCATCGTGTAGTAGGTCACCCTTTATCCTGTGTCGTTTTCTCGAGGAAAGCGAGTAATGAATGTTGCTTTTTTCAATGACAAAAAACGAGGTGATTTAGATGGGAGTCCATCATATGTTTCCTCATAATTGCTTGGCAGTCATGATGCTCTTAGTCAGCAGCCTCAACTTGCATGATGGAATGGCCATGAGTCTATTGCTTCAGAGGTTGGAGCTGACTCAAAATCGCCTGCGACGGCTTAACATCCGTGTACCTTTTGTTACTATCCGCTTATATACACCTGCAGTTGTACATGCTCCGCCTATTTCAGCGAACTTATAATACATATCATCCCACGTTAAACATCTGAGGGTTTGTCTATTTATTTCTCATCTCCTCGCACGGCTACCGCCAGCACTCTTGCCGGGTGTCGCAGGCACAAGCTCCGCAATCTTAGCCTTCTTCTGGTCCTCGGCGGCCCTCTTGATCAGGTACTCGTCGATGGCCTGTGTCCCATCGATCAGCCGACCGCTCTCGGCGATTTTAGCATCCTCTATCGCTAAACGTTGGCGGTGGGCATCAAGCTGTTCACGGCGCTCAGGAGACATGCGCCACTCCTTGGGGAATTGCGGCTTGGGTTGAATCTTATGATGTCGGGTATCAAGAGGGATGTCCTCAAATGTGTCCTTGGGGTCTTTGGCCGCAGCAATGAGGTCGTCAACTAGATTGGAGAGGTAGCGCTTGTTCTGTGCTTGGTGCTCAAAGCTATCGCTGCTCATTTTGATGATTTCTGTCTCGGGGTTGTAGCGAGGGCCAGCAAGCTTTTTCAGCTTCTCGGTTTGAACTGGTGTGAGCTTCAGGTCATCGGGAGCGAACTGCACCACCACCTTTTTCTCCGCAGGGTGGAATTCGCCCATATAAGAAGTGTACCGCCATCGCAGAACCTGGTTGTCGCTAGGAGGGACGAAGGGCTTGGCATACTCTGCTATAGTATCAGTACAGACATGTTTTGTCAATTTCAGTTACACTCACTTGAGAGAAGAGGCAATTCCCATACTGCCAGTCGTGCGTACTGTCGCATATCTCGAATTTCGTCAAGCTTGCCATGAGCCATAGATGTTATGTCGTCCTCGTCGAATTCCTCAAGTTCTTCGGTATTGGTTTCGGGGTCCTCCTCGTCGAACCAGAATGACTGTTTATTGGGCCTTTCACCCTTGTCGTCTCTTGAGATATCTTCCAGCACTGACCTGTCCTCCGACGCCCAGCCAGGGTGCCATTCCAGCTCATTTTGCAAGTAGTGGTCAATGGAATTATAGCCATTCTCTTTGGCCAGCTGATCCAATTGTTTCAGCCCCTCCGGTGTAGAAGCCTCAGCCAACGCGGCCTCCAGCTTCTTCAGCTCTATAGGACCGAAATCATCCTCCTCAGCGTCCTCTTGGCGTTGATCCTCCTCGCGCGCCCATCGTATCGTTGAGGTGGTAAATGCCCGTTGAGCATGCGGCTTTGGGCGGATAAGCTGCTGAGGCCGGGGAATATGTTGTATTCGAGGGGCCCGACGGCAAGCCACGGCGCATAGCCTTGCGGCTATTGATACTGAAGCCATTGCAATTCGTCCAAGAAGGCAAAGCGTCGAATTGTCGTCCGTCTCAAAAGGTGGGTTGGCAGGCTTTCAAAATTTTGGCTGCACCACCAAGCTCAACTGTAGTTGACCAGGTTCCGATAATTAACCGCCATAGCTTCCTCCTCTTACACGAACCGACCTGCCTACCCTATCCCCTATCGTGGAAGCATGGTATAGTTTCAAGACTTAAAATCAACAACTTATCCGACTTTCTTCCTCCTCTACTGATTTTCTCGCGGATATGGAGGGTCCTCATGTTGACCGCGTGTGTCTCGTCACGGTCGGTGCGACCACGGGTTTTGAAAAACTCATTGAATCGGTGCTTCAGCCAAGTTTCTGGCAATACATGCACTCACAGAGCTTTACTCAACTACGCGTACAGTGCGGCCCCGACATTGGCTGGGCGAGCGAACAACTTGCCGATCGCAAAGATGACATTCCCTCGGGTCTATTTATTCAATTGTTTTCTTCCAAGAAAAATCTCATGAAGGAGGAAATGTCTCTATGCAAGGACGCCGATGGCAAGAGACAACTTGGCCTCGTCATATCCCACGCTGGTAAGTCGAACGTGTATCTCGTGACTTGAACTTACATATCCCAGGTACTGGAACAATTCTTGATGCGTGGAAAATGGGGTTGCCTCTTATCGTGGTACCAAATATACAGCTCTTGAACGATCACCAGACCGAGATGGCCAAACATCTCTCTAAGGAGGGGTATGCAATCATGAGCTCTGGAAGGTATGTAAATCTAGGCCTTCAAACGAGGCTCCTTCTCATATTGGACAGTGCCGAGGATCTTGAAGAAGCTGTCCATAAGGTGGGACTTCTCTGGGAGGAGAACAAGACTCGTTGGCCTCCACACATTATCCCCTCCCAACAGCCCAAGAGGCTTCGCTTATGGGATCTCGCCCCTGAAGAGGTCGCCAAAGAACAGAACGCCACGATGGTGCATGATTAGGGATTTGACAACCTCAAGCGCGCGGTGGGCCTCTGATCGGACAACGGATCACTTGGCAATGAGAGGAGATGTATCTACGTTGCGATTTGGAAGGAAGGCATATGTTTGGTGTTTAGGCGTATCTATTCTCGCACAACTTGTCAAAAGGTGCATCTATCTAATGTTAACTCTGTTTCCCGTGCCTCCCGTGCCACCCGGGTGGGAAAACACTCGCCAGGTGCAGAATATATCTTGTTCAGGGCAAATTCTGAACCTTCCAGATCTTTACATTGGCATCCCCTCCAGCACTAGCAACTCTGCCACCTTCGACCCAGGCAACCCCATTGACGCCGTCCTTGTGAGCGTTAGCAGCCTTGATTCGCTTACCCTGGTTCCTCTTTTCAAGACACCAGATAAAGACGTTTGTATCAAGGCTACCACTAGCAGCGTAGGCGCCTGTGTCGTCCCAGGCAATAGCTGTTACTCGAGCAGTGTGAGCAGACCATCGGTCTGCGACCAATTCCCAGCTCCCAGTGCTGTAAACATAGATCTTTCCGACACTGTTTCCAGCGGCTAGATGCGAGCCTCCCTTGGAAAAAGCAAGCGCAGAGATAGTGCCAGTTGGGTTACTCAGCGACTTGACTTCTTCGAGCTTACCATTTGAACTGGCGTTGTAAATACGGACGCAGTTATCGTTGGCTCCGATGGCAACGAACGACCCGGATGCGGCAATAGCACCAGGGGTAAAGTCAAAAGACTGCTCGCTGACCAGCTTTTCGCCAGAGTACACGGAGACACCGGAATAAGTCGCGGCATAGACAAGTCCGTTCGCCGCACTTACACCTTTAGGTTGTGCCTGTAGCTTGATGGAAGTACCCAAGAAGGTCTTGGCCGGCTCGTCAACAATTCTGAGAGTATCATCCCATCCAGCACTGAGTACCTTGCCATCGGCAGTGGCAAACTGAGCGACCTGGTTTGTATGTGCTTGGCCATCGACAACCGTAGCAATCCCCGAATTAACGTCCCAGTGACATACCCGGCCGTCAAAGCTGCCAGTCCAGAGGTCGGCACCCTTGCCGTCAGATCCAGTTGACAAAGCGGTTATGCTCTTTCCGTGACCATATACAACGCGGACAGGTTCCGGCTTGCCCTCAGTCAAGTACGCGAGGTTGCCTGCAAGGCTGAGGCTAATGATGAGGCCGTCACTGCGGCCGGGAACAAATACAACACCAACTTGCTGGTCACCCACGCTGACATCCTCTCCAAACTTCCAAGTTTGGATGACGCTGCCTGCATCGACATCCCAAAGCTTTACACTTTGATCAGCACTAGCGGTGACGAACTTCTTGCCATCTGGCGACCATGATACGGCAAAAATACTTCCCGAGTGCTCACCCTGCCCAATCTCTTTGGTGGGCTCACCCGTCTTCCCATCGTAGAGCTGTATCCTCTTGTCGGCACCGACTGTAACCAAAGAGCTCCCATCAGGAGAATAAGCAGCGCCCAGAACAAAACCAGTATGTTGAGCGCTCTTGTTGTTGAACTTGTATGGGGCTCCATGGTAGAAGACCATGTTGCCATCGTCGCCAACCGTAGCGGCACGGAAAGGGCGTTGAGGTTTCATTGCGACGGCATTGACGGACTTGGAGTGACCGATGATCTCACCAACCGAGTTGCCGCTATCAGCTGTAATGCAGCGACCGAATTGCTCGCGACCATCGCCAACAGCAATAACACGTTGCGACTCGCCGTCCCAGGCAATATCGTTCAGACGACCAGAGATGATTCCGTACTCGCCCCTGGTACTCTCGATAGACTCGGGCTCCCACACCTTCAGCATTCCGCTTGAGTCGCCACTGGCGACCTTGAAGCCATTGGGAGCAAATCGAGCAACGGTTGTAGGGGCGGTGTGGCCAGTGTATTCCTTTGCGTCCGAAGGGTTGTCGATGGAGCGAACAAATATGGATTTTCCGCACTACATGGGTCAGAGACATCATCTACAGAATGTAGTCTTCTGGCAGAGGGAAGATCATACAGGATAAGCTATCCGTTGACCCTTGGAGTCGGCCGAGATCTGAGTTGGCTGACCACGGTTTGTGACTGGGACTGCCGCAAGGATGCGGTCGAGAGTGATGGATGGAGAAGCCATGACAGAGGCAGCAGCGGTTATGGGGTATGATTGTGCTTCTCAAAGATAGAGACAACAGGTATGCGAGACAGATGAGAAGATGCACCCATACAAAGCCTTGTGAGTCGAATAATTGCCGTCAGCTTCTGATGCGAAGTTATTGTAAACGTGGGGGAAACGTTTCTTGTCTGGAGGGGCATTTCTACGTACGTCAACAAGCTAGTGTGGGGCACCTCACCTAGGTACTGGTAGGTGTTCAGAATGAATGAATGGGTCTAGTAGCGAACAGGTAGGTACTAAGATATCGATTTTGTTCTTCTGGCATCAAACTTTTAGATATTATATCTTGACGTAGGGCCACGACTTAAGCAGGCAATCTAACCTCTATGCCACTAGTATGGAATTCTCAATAATTTGTCAAGCTGGTAACTAGATGGGTTCGACCAGTTTCACACTGCTTGACGTCTGCCTACCCCCAGGCAATAATGAGAAGCCATATACAAATAGGGCCGTGACGACAAAAGCGGTCTCTCCTCTGCCCCAAACCTCTAGGCAACAAGTATCAAGATCATGTTAGGTATTCAACTGAATTGGTTTTGCAGCAACACCTAATGGCCTAGACGTCATGCGGTGTAAAAAGCGCCATCACCTCACAAATGCAAGCTATAATATGGAAGCTCAAGGTTGCATTACTCCAGTGTCCTTGCCAGAAAGAGCATGTACTTTATTTGGATACGATGCTGGTTACTTTATGTTTACCTATGCTTGTGTAATCCATCACGTTCTTAATATGAGGGACATGTTCTGGACCCCCATCTTATCGCCCAATATAAACTTGTGCAGGTTGTACTAAAGAAATACGAGCCGAGTGAGGCATTCATATGGACGACACCTGTCATTGAAGGCTGCGCCTGTTTATATCGTGGTATCACTACTGGGCTCTAGTCTGTATTTCTCTATTAGAGCATTACTATTCCACGCCAAACAAATAGCCATATAACCTCACACTCAAGGAATCTGAACTGTATGGTGGCGCGCGTCAAGATACACGGCTGTGTTTGACTGGGCAACCAAACTCACACCATGAGAAAAGGACATACGATGTTGCAGTTGTGCAGACAAAAATAACCAACTAATCCATGGATTCCAACCACTCATGAACAGCATAACACAGCATAACGCCGCACAACATCACACTGGTTCAGCCTCTTTGCCCCCCCCTGAAAGCACGCTAGTCATCTCCCCATCTCCATGCAGGGACATCTCCCGGAGCAAAAGCTAGGGATAACAGCAGCTTCAAAGTCTCCCGTTGGAGGAAAACAGACCGAACGACACAGGCACAAGGGTAACATTATTCGACGGTGGCCACGGTTGTGCTTAAATCCCCACTTCGACCAACAGTTAATGCAATGCACTGTCGTTACTCCTAGCCAACGCTGGTCAGCAACCCTGCCGAAATCGTAGAAATCAATGGGTTTGCACTGAATCGTGTTAATCCTGTTGACCGCCACGACTTCAAAGAAATTTTATCATGTGTGACTGAGCATCGGTTGGAATATGTCGGTGAAATAAGCATCAGCAACAACAGATAAATAAGGTACATACCTCCCTAGCTAAGGTACTAAGGTAGGCAAAAACAAAACTTGTCCAAGCTCAAGCCACTAATAATACGAAAGACACCAAACGGCAACATGCATTCAGCCTTTTGTCCCCTCAACACTCTATCTCCAACCCAAATTCTTGAACGAAACCCGAGCAGCCCCTGTCCACGTACAGTTCATTCTACGTACTTGTTATGGGGCGCATTGGTCTCGCCTGGGGGTGGGACGGCAGAGCATCCTTACCCATGCCCATACCCATACCCATACGGCACGATGCTAAACAAGACCCTGTTGCTAATATCCCCCGTACTCGCCTGTGTGATTAATGAAAACGCCTCGGACTCCTCAGGTTATTATATATTGTTCTTGATCTCCCTGTACCAGGACCCGTCTTTTCTCCTTAACCTACTCTGCATTCTCCAATCATTCCTGCTCCATCCTCAAAACGTCAACCTCACGTAACTGCCATCATGAAGTTCCTCTGGTCCCTCGCTCTCTTCGCTGCTGCGGCTTCCGCCCAGTCCTCGACTGACTCTGGCGCTGCTCCCTCTGCCTCTAGCGAATGCGAGGCTGAGTACATTGTCAAGAGATGTCTCGAGACCGAGAACGCAAAGGTCGAGGCTTGCAAGGCTAACGATTGGGACTGTCTCTGTGCCTCATATGAGGCTGTTGCTACGTAAGTGAAGCATGCCTGTACCTCTGGAGCTGAACTTGTCATCTGACATCTATCTCCAGCTGCTTCAACAACTGCCCAGACGACTCTCGCGCCAGCTCCGCCCAGAGCCAGGTCCAGGTCAACTGCCAGCAGGCCTCTCTCTATGGCACTGCGACCAAGGCCACCAAGACCAGCTCTTCCTCAGCGACAGCTGACGCATCGGATGCCACCGCCACTGGTTCCGATGCTGCCGATGCGACGAGCTCTGCTACTGAGTCTGCCGCCAGCGCCGAGAACACCAACAATGCTGCTGACAAGGCACGCAACACTGCTGGTGTTCTTCTAGCCGTCGCCGGTGTAGTCGCCGCCATTCTGTAATTGCATTTTGGAAATGGTTTATGAGTAAAATGGAGGAGTTTGATTTAGTCTGAGCTTACAGCAGAAAAGCGTGCCGTCAATGAACTATCCTAAGTAATAACCTAATTCATTAATATATACTCGGCTAGGTAAATGATCTTAGCCAGTTGATGATCTGAATTTCATGTACGGATATTCTATGTGCTTTCCTGAATGTAATTCCAAGATCTGCACTACTAACTGGTACGCTTTGCCTCTAACCTTAATTAGAGATGGCATTGCTTAATCCGATTGGAAGGGTCATCAAGTTTTCGCAGGGATATACTCAGCATGCCCAAACTCATGTGAGCTGAGAAAAGCCATCAGTGGGTAGAGGTGACCGTTTCTTGGCCAAACGAACCCAGTTTGTGAGCCTTCGTAGTCGTCGGGAAAGAATTGCTACGCCAGCCTTTGGTCTTATTCAATCATGCCCTCACATTACCAGCTTGTTCTCACTGAGAAATCATGCTACAAACAGGCGAAACTGCTTGGGACTAAAATCTTGATATAGCTATTCCGATCGTACATGTCCCTTCTTGTCTAGGGATAATTGCTCAACATCCTAACAACGAAAACAAAACAGAGGTGCAACAACCAAACTGCATTCCAATAAGAAGTCCCGTTCCGTAGCGCCTCAGTGAATATACGTAATTCTCTAATTCAAACAAGATCGAATGTTTCCCGTACTGTAATCCCACAAAGCGCCCCCAATAGCCTCAATTTTTGCTTGTGACAGACTGAAACCAAGCAGTTGTCATTTCTCAATCGTGACCTGTTCCCAGTGGTTGTTCGTAAGATATTGACTAAAAAAATATATGGTTGAAAATCGGTGGTTCAAGAAGAAAGGCGAATCCAATGGTTTGTGACTGTACGGCGTTGACAATGATGAATGGGAAGATCGGCACACAACGTGAAGATGCTATGTTTCAATAGTTCAGAGTTTACGCGACTTTCGTTCCCTGGCATTACTCTTGACCGGCGTCATCAGAGTAACATGCTTGGGGTCATCCTTACGAAGCCTTACAGCGCCTGACGCGCCGCTGGATCCCCGACGCAGTGAGCGCGAATCCTGGTCGTCATCCAACGTGATCTCTTCCACATCCGACACTGACTCGGTTTCGAGATGATCACTTGTGCCAGAAACAGATGAGCCATCATCCGTATCATCGTACTCTCCATCATCACTAACAAGGGAAGGCGCATTGTTGCTGACCATGGTATTGGGGCTCATGTCAACATCTTCCATGTCCAAATCTTCGTCTGAGAGCACAGGGTTCGCATTATGCGATCCACAGTTTGCAGACCTCTTGAAAGCGATTGGGGGAGCACGGCCTTTGCTACTGGCTGAATGGACTGATGCGGCCATGACAGTTGGAGAATGAGTAGCCTTTGCGGGCACGCGCATAACGACTGGTTTCCGCACAACAGACGGATCTCCCATTTCCATCTCGTCAAGTGATGTCTCAGCAGGTTCCGATTCTTCACCAGAAGTCATATCGTCCAGTGCGATCTTTGTCTTTGCATCTGCAACCAGTTCACGCAGGTTGCCGTCGAACTTCCGACTTTGCAAGAGATGGGAGAGAAAAGGCACATCCGAAGCGCCTGCGACAGAGGCAGTCATTTGTACGTCACGCCCATGGAGTTTGCCATGAAGCGAAGGGATATGGGTGACGCCAGGCAGCTTGCCTTGGTGATAAAGCCTAAGCGAATCGGCAATTCGTGATCTGAGAGCAGTGTATGCTTGCTGATCGGTCATATCAGGTTGGGCAAAAGGATGCACAGAAGTGGAAGTCAGAGTTAGCACGGTCGGTGCAGGCGCCTTTTCCTCTCCAACAGCCCCCCTTTCTGTCACTTCGATTGGATGGCCGCTCTGCACAGCTGCTTCCTCGTGGCTCTTGAAGTCCCTCTTATGAGCAATGCGGCAGTGGTTGATAAATCCCTGAGTACTTGAAAAGTTCTCCCGGTTGCAATCAAGACATACCAACTTTACCGTCTTCCCATCGGCGCGCTTCAAGATACATGGGCCAGCCTTGTCTTTTGGCTGAGGATAGCCACTGGACAAAGATTGTAACTTCTGGCTCCCCGCTCCACGGCCTGAACGGGCCTTAAGCGAAGTTCCAGATTCGGTGAAGCTATTTCTTGTCGTCCGCCCTTCGGCAAACGAAGCTCTTGCGCGAGAGGCTTCTGGAGTAAAGTGCCACTCGGGCTGTATACCATCAAACGAAGGATCAGGAATAAGCCACTTGGCATAGTGTCTGGCATATGGACCATCAACGACACCAAATGGGGGTGCCCACCTTGGTACAGCTTCCCCGGAACGCGTCTGAATAGCAGGTCCCTTTCCGGCACTGACATTCAACATCTGTTCCGGAGTTGGGCAATTCACAGGGTATGGGATGAGATGACAACGTCTGAGCTGCTCCAGAGCAACCTGGCATTTCGCGAGTTCCTGGTTAATGAGCCGAAGTTCATCATGTTTTAGCAAAATTTCAAGACCAAACTGATGGCGAATCTCATCCCGGGCATCGTCCAAACTAGGGGCCGTAGGACTTTCTTGTGGTTTTGGGCCGGATGCTGAGAAACTGTCGCCTATTATATCTAGGTCTATCTTGGCGCGCTTTATAGGCACGTTCATATCGGACGTTTCATCAGAGCCATATACGCTTGACTGTCTCCGTTTGGGAGGCTGCGCCTCGGGCGACCCTGATATCTTCGTTTTTGGTAATAGAGGTGACTGAAATGGCTTCAGTAGGTCTGCTGTTGGTGGTGTTGCCGGCAGCGTCTTGTCGCTTCCCCGTGATTCAGATGTCCAGAATCGAAACATGAGGGTACCTCGACAAGAAGTCAAGGAGAAGACGAAAATGTCACGACGGAAGGGCCGTAGTGAGCTTTTGTATCAATGCAGCAGGCAGCAGCTGTGTGTGGATTTGAAGGCGGGTGAAAATTATGGGAGTGGGTGCCAAAGTTGTGAGAGCTGTGGCGCAGGTGAGGCTGACGTAATTGGAAAGTAGGTTTGCGGATCGGACAATCGGAGTCGGGCGCAAAGGGGTTTGATGATGTGGCCCTCAGAACAGGCCAGAACCAAAGAGGAGTTTGGGTTAACCAGCGACAGTAATGACAAGTACTCAGAGCGACAATGTGCCGGAAGAGAGGGAAGAAAGAAGTGATCGAGCGCTAGCGAAAGCCTCGACTCTGTGGCCTCTGAGAGATAGCAAACAAAGAAAGTGTTTTCTTTGAGAGGGAGAGTGTGTTGTGAATGAAGAGGGAGGGAGACGAGGCAAGATGGGAGAGCGTGTAAGAGGGAAGATTAGGTGGGTTGTGGTAGTGAAGCAGCAGCAGCAGCAAAGAGAAGAGTGGGAAAACGGGGGTGCATGCGCAAATGAAGGTGCGAAGAGGAAAATCGATAACACATGAGAGGGAATGTGCGTCGAGAGGGAAGTGAAAGTACAGAAGTACAAGTGTAGGCGCAAGTGGAATTGAAGCTTTCTGTTGCGGGAGTGTGACACGACTCGAGGGAAATGGGGATAAAGTCAAACTGGAAGAAGGAGAAAGTGGGTGGTGCAGTCACTGCAGTGTGCGTGATGGGAGCACCTCAACCTCACAGTCAGTACCCGAGAGTGACGCTTGGGTCTCGGTCTCTTGTTTTGGTGCTGCTTGTGCACTGGGCTTCCTCCCTGATTGAATGAGCGATCGGCCAGAGACTTGATTTGATTGAACGGCCGATTGAGTACCCACAAAAAGCAGACCTGAGGCGAAGCCGTCGAGCAGGCTAAAACAAGTCTAGGAGTCAAGGGAGCCAAGTGTTGGCAGGCTGTTGGTGGGTACCAGGGGGCGAAATTGGGGTATTCTGTGTCCCTTTGGGGAGTCAAGGGAGTGGACCATCAGCCAGCCAAGCATGGAAGGAGCCAGGGGATTGTGATTGCGGTACGACGACGCCCAGAAACTCAGAAGTTAGAACCACCATCCACTAATAGATTCGACGCAAGCTGGAACCCTGTCAGCATAACGGAATTCTAACTTATCTAGTACCTTGCGATCCCTACCAAGATTGGCAGATAGCTTGTCATAAAGCAATGAAGGATACATATGGTTTTGTGGTGGTCAAGTCAGTTGTTTGCTGCTTCAGATTAGTTTCGCCGTTTGTCTCCTGCTATGATCCTAGTCTTCCTGGCGTGTTAGCAGTGATAACAAACGAGTGCCTAATGAACTCAGGACTGGACAGGAAGAGATCCGTCAGATCCAGTCGATAGGCTAGCCCGAGCTAGTGCAGGCTGCTGCACATGGAGACACTGCTTCAGTGTATGCAGTTTCAAATACTTCCTTGTATGCTCCTCGGGTAGTGACTCCTAATCATGATTCGACAAACAGCCCGGAAGAGCCTGGCGCTGCCTGGGGATGCCCTTCATGACACCTTTTCAGGTACAAAACCCCACTGTAGATACTTCTAATCAGAGGATTTGGCTGCAACCCCAACAACTCGTAGTAAAGCATGTTCCAAACCCAAACCATCTTATCTCGCGCTTGGCAGCTACACTAGCTACTAGGCAGGTTGCCTGAAAACCACCTCGCTTGATTAGATTTGGCAGGATTGTCTTGCTCATTAAGTTCTCGGGGGGCCTTGGAGTCTTTCATCGCGTGTCTGAATCACCCGTCTCTTTATTTTCATCACATGCCACTGGTTTTGAATCTGGGCAATCAGTCCTACGCTTGATTTCGGGACGAGTCTTGGACGTCTGACAATGCAACCATCAATGAGACACATTTGGTTAGAACGAAACAGGATGGTGTGTACTCCGTAGGTTATGGGGCTATCTTTCTGTAAGTTGCTGCAGCCACTTCCAACCAGCTCGCTTATTTTCCACTTGGCTTGGAAGCCAAGCTGTAATTGTTTAGACTGTGCTAGTGTCCTGCGTCTGTACCTTAACATGGATGAGCGCCTTCTTGTTAGAAGCCTCACTCTGGTTGGTTATTGTGTGCAAATCTGGTCCAAGCTCCTTGATATCTTGAGTTGAGAGCATCAGCAGAAACTGAAATTCCTATAGGCAGTCACTGTCGTCCAGTGAGCGTTATGGGAGAACTTCTTCTATGCCATGCAAAGTCTGCCAATCTAAAGCTCGGTGATGGGGCATTTTGAAGCACGATGAGGTGATTCTCTTGAGTTCCTGGGGAGCTACTCTCAGCCCCACTAGCGACTCTGGTCCAAATCGTCATCCATGACATCTTCAGAAGGGAGTGCTGCTCATAAAGTGCTCACTTCTCGTCTCTGTTCGAAGGTGATGGGGAAATTCTGAGATGAGTAAATTGGCGAATGATATTTAGTAATGTTGATAGCTTCTCGCCTGAGGGACCTAAGAATTAGACTTAGATAAACCTAGCGAGCTGTGCTTATGCATTCAAGATTTCAACTCAACTTTGGAGTTGTGGCGCAAGCCTCGCCAGCTACTTTTTACCATGTTCCGTAAGGTTCTCAAATTTTGGCATCACCCACAATGAATTGCCTTAGTAAGCTGTCTCTCATTGCCTGCAGCCACGTGCTTCTCAGGTTAGGTTCAAACCCAGGGACAGCCTAAGTAAGGTACCTATTGAGTTCAGGAAATCACCTTGTAAAGAAAAGTAGGGGTAAAAAAGGAAGCTCGTGATGCCTTACCAATGCCTGGAATTCTCCGAAGGTGCTCAAGTAGACCGCCTATCTAGGCACCTTAGGCAATGGATTCTGGCAAATTGTCCCATGGAAGGTTCTTCGAATACATTATGTATGTGTTCAGCAAGCGACAAAGTGCCAAGCATTTGATCCAATGAATAATGTCACTGTGCTCCAAAAGCTCGGACTTGCATGTGTCCGCCCCGCAAAGCTCAAATCCTGGACCGCAACTGTTTTCCCGCTAGAGCCACCTCGTTCTTTAAACATCATCACTCACAAAAATGCCCTTTGCAACATCCAACCATGTCTCTGGCAAAAGGAAGCCAGATACAAATGTCTCCAACGAAACTCATTTGACGAAGCGACCCCGAAACAACGAACCTAAGACTCCAACACCAGCTCTGCTAGCTCCCCACGAAACCATCATCGCTGAACTCAACTCCAAATATGACATCCTACCTGCTTCAGTTATCTCGTCAACGAGAATCAAGAAGCGCATCATGCAGGTCGCAAATCACATAATGACCCAAGGCGATCGACCTCCAGTAGCACTGCTGTATGCGCGAACCGGCGATGTTTGCAAGCTCATCACAGTGGTAGAAAAATGCAAGCGGATTGTTGCTGAGGAAGGGAAAGCATATTATCAGTACAACCAGCTATTTGACCAACCAGAAAAGTCTAAAAGCAAGGATATTATTGAAGAGACAATTCTCGAAAAGAACATTCAGGAAGACAATGATTCTGACAACGACGAATTCGAGGTTATGCATAGCCGATTTGAAAGTGCAGTGCTACCTCAACCCTCGCCACGATCTGTGAAATCGTTGAGGGTTTTCATTTCGACTGTGCCCATACAGGAATTGAAAATAAAGAAGGGTGTTACGGTCCAGTCTGGTACAGCCGAGCAAGCTTGATACAATCCCGATACTTCTACTCTACTCAGGCCGTTTCGTCTGCCTTTTATGTTTTTAATATACTTGACTGAACTATTCTAGAGATGGTTCATGGTTGAGTAAGTCGTCTAGCAAATCACAAGATACCCAGCGCAAGTAAATAGAACATTCTGCTGTTATTTGTGCCGCTACAATCGCGCAATACCGTGTGAAGAAAATTTGACATGTCCCGGCTCCAACGCCAATGGCCCAATCCACCACAAGACTCCATTCCCCGCTGAGCCATTCCCGCCTCTTCCCACATAAGCGGCTTTAGATCACGTTGATTGACTGCAACTGCTGTGGTGATGTCCAATGAGTCTCTAGTTACCATTGTTCTTGGACTTGTCGGTGATTCGGAGGACAAAGTTGACAATAACGGCCAGTAGAAGAATGATAGCCAGAACGGTGGGACCAAAACGGTCATCAAAGCCAGCCTGACCCTTCATTCTTATAGACTTGGCTCGCCAATGGTACGTCACCAATGCATATATCATGGTCAACATAGCGACACCAGTGAAGAGGAATGCAGAGATGAAGGCGACTCTATCACCGAAGTTCAGCATGCCGATGGCGAGGGCACCGAGAATGACGGTGAAGTTGAGCCATGACAGGAAAGTTCGTTCGTTCGCGAAGAAGACCTTGGGTTCGACGCGGGTTGGCAAAGCAATGCGCTTACCTGGAAGACATGTTAGACAGAGCAAGATAACCAAATGTCAATTGCAAGATTCAATGGGCACTTGGGGCGGACGTACCGGGAGTGGTCTGAAGGAGAGGTTGGGAAGACATGTCGGAATTGCTCGAATCGGCGAGGTTTTATTGTTGACAGCTCTAGTAGCGAGTGTTGTGTCCCCGTTGGCAGCGAGGAAGAGGAGCGCTGTCAAGTAAAAGTAAAACTGGGAGTTCTTACAAATAAGAAGGTATGAGATGACGCTCAATCGGTAATCCTAGTGCGAGCGATTGGCGAATGACTTCACTTGATCAAAAAAATGTTTGTGATAAAGAAAAGGTCCAAGTCGTCTGTTTATGTACGACATGGACTGGACTGCCGAAACGACGACGAGACTCTGGACCCACTTCTCGGTGTGTGTTCCAGTAAGTAGCAAGCTTGGATCCTGCTTCGAAGAGCACGTGGCTCATTGGTTGGACATAGTAGCAGCACGCGACCGCCCTATCGACTGCAGAAAACTTAGCATTCAGAAGCAGGTACGGATACAGGTACCGCCGGATCTGTCTTGACGCCCTAGGTATGGAATCACCGACCTGCCCGTACGCCGATGAGAGACCACATAGGTATTTTTTCCAACTTGTAATAATTCTCGCAATCTCATAGACCTCGCTTGGAATGGCGAGTCATTTCGAAGGCAAAGATAATTTTGTTGTTTCTAGCAATGCTTACAGATACCAATGAGACATATTGGATCAGTGCGTAACTTCATATCCAATAAGAAGAAACTGTTTCACGAAAGTTTATCATGGGCTCTCACTAAGGTATACCAAAGGTAAAAAAGACAAAACCAAGCATTGACGTCGCTAGAAATGAAGCGAAGACATGAAGTACTAATAGACTGACATTGACACAAGACTACGATAGCCAACCAAGACATGAAGACCGAATTATATCGAATTTCAGAATAAGATCATGCATTTTAGATCAACACTATTATCTCGAGTTGTTTAGCTTTCTAATCGTAGGTAGAGACTGTCAGCAATCGATTGCACCCAGCTTTGTTGATCACGTGCCCTGGTCTGGCTCCCTCCATTGTCTGGGTGGTACATTGTAGTCGCGATAGAAAGACATTCTGACACAAGCTGAGCTAGAATAATCATGATAATAAAATGGTCCCAGTTATGGATATGGATAGTGACAAACTAGATTTAGTTGTGTTGACCATGAGAATTGCTCAGCGAAGCATGATATAGAAAAACAGTGAGGTTGTTGTTACTGAAGGTGGTAGCCGTTGGTTTGTGCATGAATGCATAACCCAGTTCCTCTGATAACGAGGCTTGTTTTTGTTTACCGACCGTTTTCCACCTGTCCAATCCGATCCACGACGCCATCCATCAAACATTAACTCAGCTCCAAACCATCCTCTCAACCCTAACACGACACCAACCTCGACAATGGCCACTCCTGTATGTGCATAAACGCTGAAAGGATCCCATATCCGTGCAAGAGTTAATCTTTATCTAGCCGATTCCCCCCAACCGCCTCAAGCAGATCGCTACTGATGTACGTCGCCCATTCATCTCTGCTTACCGCCAACCACAAGACGGTCGCTTCTTTCGACGCGTGTACTAACCACAACAATTACAGGCCTGCAACAGCGCGATCGGAAGCGCAGAATTCTACGATCATGAAAAGACCGAGCAATGGAATTCAACAATTATTGTAGGTTGAAGACACAACTCTACACAGCCGTTGTAGCTGGAAAACTGACCATGATTGCAGAGTTCCGTTTTGAAAGCCGTCATCTCTGAATCAACCCCCGAGGGTGCTTCTGCTCCCTCGTTCAAGTTCGCATGCAACAGTACCATCGTGCAGCACCTCGTCCCTACGTCCGCCCTGAACAAGCCCCGTGGTGGCACCGAGATCAAGGCTGAAGAGCCTCACATTTCTACGAGCTCCGAAGCGACTGCCACTGACGGAAAGCCCCATGTCGGTCGACGAGGAATGCACAGTGCCACAGGCGCCTACTGGGACCAGAAGAAGGACGGCATGTGGACCTTCAAGTATGATGGCGGTGAGGGCAAGGGTCTCGATGTAGTTGTTATGCTCATCTGGGTCGCCATCTGAACTCCCAAGCGGGCGACGGACGGTCAGGTGTTTTCGTCTTGTTCTGGCCCCAAGTCTGCTCTCTGCGGACGTGGATGGCACCCTAATTCAGCTATGGCGTTGAGGGACTTGGAAAGCGTGACATTAGGAATACGAAGGGTATGATGAGGCTTCCGGTCAAGCTATCCGCCGAAGATATTAGTATCCATGTAGACCTCGGATGTAAAAATACGCTGGAGTTGGTAATATTCTCCAATACCAGAGGACTGGGATCAGCCGAGTTTCTTCTTTTCTTGGGACTGTATGCTTTGCCGACCTGAGGTTGGCATTATCTAACTAAAAAACAGTGTCTTCACACACCTCTTGATGATCAATGGTCTTTTGTACTTCTTTGTGTCTGCTCGTCAACAGCTTTCTCATCAAGCATCGCAGTAAATACTCCTCTGTTGTCCTGAAGATCGTAGTCAAGTTACAAATTTCAGCTCAATTATGGTTATCACGGACAATACTCCCGAGGCAATTCTCGGGTGATTGGACGTTTGCTGCTTGGTGTCGTAGCCTATCAAACAATGCTTGGTCAACTCCTCTCACTCACCAGGATTGTACTCCCAGGAAGCATGATGAGCCTCACAAGTCAGGGGGACTTTGTCATCTTGCAAACAGATCGCTGTTGCCCTGTTCTCATTATGTTGCTTTATTCAGCACATTGTCAGGTGTATTCAAGAAATGTTATTCTGCGACCATGCCAGCATACAGTTGGCAGACTTTTTGTCAATCATATCTGTGTACCAACTAGACGAGCATCAAGTCAGCACGATTTACGTCCAGAAACCTCGCGTTACCTTGAGTCTGGTTTATTCTGACCAAACATCTTCCATGGCAACTGTTCTTATTTGTCCAGAAGCGAGTGATCTCAAGATCACTGCTAATTCTTCAGGGTCACTCGCATAACGAAAGTGTGTAGGCGATGCATTCACAGTGAACTATTTCGAGATGCTACACAGCGGACGTTTCATGGGATTCGGAAATCATCTAAAACACAGAGGATAAAAACAAGACGGTACGAACTGAAACCTGACGTAGGGGTCAATGGGATTCCGAGTCTAATGCAATGCTCAGATCAAAATATTCAGCTATGGATAGTATGGGTGGTATGGAGGGTATTTATATTGCAGTGCCGCCAACACCACCAATTTTCTCTCCCCATCCAGGCACCACGCTGCGATGTCGATGTGGCTTGCAGTCCCGTCTTACGTTGGGAGTAAACAGCTAGGGTTGGACGAAAATTCCAGCTTGCTCCAAATGTACCCTTCATTAGATTGACTCAAGTTTAACACGACCGAGTCAACGAGCGACATTTGGCCATTTCAACGATTTCCAATATGATAGCACCTTGTTTGCTGGTTCCTGGCCTTTGTGAAAGCAGCTCTCAAGCTTGAGCCTAATGGCCTTCGTTTCAAGCAAGTATTAGGCGTTATCTAAGGCAGTGTGTGATTCTATCTAGTTTCAAAAACTGTACGCCCACTATCGTCAAATACCCTGATTAGCACGACTCCAATTATCAGAATCAGGAGATCTTACATATGTGGTCCCCCTATCCGCTAGCATCAGATAATCTCACCACTAAGCAACATCATGATCCGTGTAGGGGAGACCTCAGATTATAGTATGCACCAATCGAGAACCGACACAATGGCGGCTCTTGGCTGTGGTTCGTTCGCGCCATTCCGGTTAATACATGCATAAATGTAACCCAAGTTGGGACACCAACGATCCATACCTGCATCTTTGGGATACACAAGGAGCGGTGCTTGCTGCATAATCACTACATAGTCGTGTGAGGAGGGGAGCTCCGATTTCGAACTCAGGGAGCTGGCTTGAGAGCAACCACAGGCATGGTTGACATCGTATGGCTTCATTGTGCACAGGGGGAAGCCGATATCATACGAATGTATAGTCAACTGGTATATGGGGGTGGTGGCAGTACACATCTACCGAGTGCATTGATGTCTACAACTTCTTGTGCAAGTCTTGTGGGAGTCTTGTGCCTTGATTTCTAACGGCAGTAGATACCAAAAACGGATGAATTCGAAAGAGCCGCTGAGACATACGAAGAGGAGAGAAAATAGAGCCAGTGAAGAATGATGCACGAGGCGAAACGACTTGCAAGAGGCTCTGAGGCAGTCAAAGAAATGTACATGCACCCCCATGAATAGGTAAGAGGAGTTGGAAATTGGAGAGCCCAACTATCAAGATGATTGCAGTAGAATAAGTCTCCAAAAATGAATGACCATAAAGCCTTGATGAGAAGACACCAGGTTCATCTTCGCCAACCGACAGAGTGATTTTTCTTTCAAGAGTCAAAAGCTCCGCTTCTAGACCCGGTTTCGACACTCCGTGGCTGATTGATCTCTTCGCCAGAACAAAAGGCAGCATCGAGACCTTTGTCAAGACCTTGCACGACCCTGACTTAAGATCGGCCCCGGTCTGCTCCCAGCGGGGTTCTCCGGCCCCGTGCCTCGAGTTGAGGGGACATGGCCAGGGTCAATCCCCATAATGACGTTATTAGCGCTCCCGTAAACGCCGTGGGTCTGATAGAGAGTGTGCTTGATGATCAAAAGGCAGACACTGAACAGAGAGAGTTGGAAGAGTCGGGGCTACTTGTTGCTACCGCGTTGCATAGTTAAGGTGAGCTGCTGCAAGATTAGTTGTCACCCCTTCTATCTGCATCATGTCCAAGGCTACCCTCCAAGAGAAGACAGGCTTCTCGTGTGTTCGCGAAGCTTGGAACATCTGGAAAGGGTGCCTGTCAGGCTCAATCTAGGCATGATTTGCCCCCACATGACACACTGCACGACACTACATCACAATCGTCTGGGGAAGGGTTTTCACTTCTTCCCGTCATACGATGATAGACTAGCTGACTAGATACTATACATACCACTGAATATGCCGGGCCGGTAGGCTGCACGAATCTTTTGGAGTTGGTTTTGGTGTTGCGTTTAATGGACCATATGATCGGCAAAGAGGCCCCACGCCCGATTCCTACATACATAACACCAGTAGAACTTGGATCCATGAAATGATTTTTGAGTTGCCACCATAACTTGAATCAGGGTCTGTCCCGGTATCGCGGCCGCTGGCGGGTTTCGGCATCACCATGTCATATGGCCAGTAAGACAAGCTACCTACTCAAAAAAAGAGGCTGCGAGGTACATAGAAAGGAGAAAAGGCACACAGGTCTTCGGCTGTGCCTCAGACAAACTAGCCAGACCAGAATTAGCTTATCATGGTTTTTTCCCGGAACTCTGTGTCCCTAGGGTGCCACTTAACCCCTGGACGGACAAGGACAGAACTCGAATTGGTTGAATCTGGTCCCGGGACCATCACACCACCCCCCTCCCCTCCCATTCCCTCCCCCCAAAATCAAGCAACGGCATCCACCGACCTTCGGACTCCGACCGGCTCTTGGAGGACCTGCCCGGCCTTGTCGTCTATCCATCGTCAACGTTCTTATAACCGGCCTACGTCGCCACTCCTTTCACATTTTCCTTTGCCTGGTTCTTTAAATACAGAACTTCAACTTACACCCCTTCAACTGCTCATGAACGTGTTAGTGAGGCTCTCTCTTCACCAATATACATACAACCGACGCCGGTACAACATCGTCAACGCAACATAAGAGACAACTTCTTGGAGTGGATCACTTCCCCTCCTAGTTCACCGCGTCTCCTACGACATTGCATCACAGCAATTGTGAATATCTTCAAAAAGCACTGCCATTAGCAACGCCGCTCCTGGGCTTTGACCTCACCCCCATTTAGCATTTACCCAACGGATATATACAGCAGCATCTTTGCCAACCAATTATGGTTCAATTATTGGCTGATCCCGCATTCTCGCCCGCTGGAACTCCAACACACGAGGGCACTAATGGGCCTCTTATGAAGCGCCCTGGCCCTGTCAGGACTGACTCTTCAACACCGATGACCAGGGAAGAACATGCCAAACGAATGCAGGAGCTCAACAAAAAGAGGGGACTGATGAGGGCACCCAGAAGAGGCTGGTCAATGACTGACTACCAAGGCGACCATGTTGCCGGGTCGCACTCGGGCGCTTCTCACATTGAGCGACAAGCACCCATCCCCGAAAATGAGTCGCCTCCTCCATCCACGCCTTACCAGCACTCAACTCCTGAAGTACCAGCCGAGGATAAAGCGGCCCAGCTTCCTCGTCGACCCAAGTTGCCTCCTCCTCGTCGCTCATACTCTGTAATGGATTATGAACCAGTTCCTCAGACACAGCCACAGCCCCCTAAAGATCACACACTGCTAGATCTTCCCTCGGAGCTCCATTACACCATCTTTGATCACCTTGATCCCATTGACAGCGTTTGCTTCGGCCTCACAAACTCCAACTTCTACGAAATTCACCGACGACTCCACGGCACAGTTCCTCTCTCCAGCCGTTACTCTGGACCAAACGACATGGAGTGGGCTTGGCGAGGAGCTGGCCCCCTTGTCCACCGACATGAGCGAAACCCTGAAAAGGAGGATCCTATGGGACAGATGCGTGTCAAGGGCCAGGTGTACTGCAGAAAGTGTGGCATTTTGCGATGTGAGCTGCATCGTCACCTCAAAGACTGGATGGGCGACGGTTACGAGTACTGCTCCATCAAGGAGGTCTTTGGCAAGCCCGCAGGAGAGGATGCAAAGCCATACTGCTACATGAAGTCGCCGAAAAACCCGCACAGATGTGGACGTCACGGAGGGAAATAGGGTGCATTATGATGAACCTAGACGACAGCAAACTAAGATAAACGATATGATACAACAACTCACACCCAGGGGGGTTATGACGACATGAAAGCAAAATCCAAGCAAGACAACGCCCCGGTTTTGCTTTATTTTCATTATTTTTATTATTTGGGACACCTCTGAGAGCGTTACGTTTAAAGATCTTTTGGTTTCAGGGTATATTCTCTCTTGAGAAGTGGGCATTTTGGATAATGGATAACAAATACTGCGATTTAAGTCAGATCATGGATAGCAAACATCAGGAGGGGTGGCACCAAAAAGGAAAGTGCGGAAAAGAACTTCCTCATATCATAACATGACGCAATGAAAAGATTTATGATATCATGAGCGTGCCTTATCGTTACTCCAAGTTAATAAGACCGTCAAAACTGTGTTCCCTAGGTACTTACAGAAATTACACAGATAACACGGATATGTAGAATTACTATGGAGCGGCAACTGCTAGATATCGATCTACGGTAATAATTACCTCTGTAGTTGATTTGAGACGTCATGGACCACTCTTCGCGGCATACGCGCTTCGTCATTGAAATACGGGAGCTTGCATCTGATGATCTAACTAGTATGATGAAATATATCGATAACATCTAAAGTAGGCGAAGGGAGCGTCATTCAAGCTTACTAGTAGTACTTTGCAGGCATGCTATTGTCAGGATCAGGGAGACAAAGAAATAAACACCATAAACACTGAAATTGATCAAACTTTGTCGACTTTACAGTGTCACTAGAAAGGCCATTTTTGCAATGCTTTTAACTTTTTATACACCTGTCAGCTTGCTTCCAATAATACTATCGAGGCCGTTGTGTGCACAAGGAGCTGTTGGTATGAATCTGTTCCCGCCGTATCTCTTTGTCTAACAGTTGTGAGCCCGATCTTTACTCCTCCGGCCTGCTCTACTCTAATCTGACAGTTCATGCAACAATGCGCCGACCCAATACCCGAAAGAGTCAAATAAATAAAAGAGAAAATGTTCGTCTGTATCCAAGACACATATCCCTTTATCACGGTGCAAATTACCCAATGCCTTAAACGCCGATCCCATGACAGGGATTATAAAACACCACTCATGATCTTGTTCCACTCCGGTTGATAGCAGTAAGAAATGCACGGCGAGTGCTGTCGTTGTTTAATCCTTCCACTTCGGTGTACAGTCACCCTTGGCGTCGATCCAATCGTTGATGCCTTGCACAAACCAGCCACTCGTCCACTTCTCTTCCGGCTTTTGCTCTTTGCGAGGCTTGCCCCTCTTGAAACTCCTGGCGATGCAGCACACGTTGTTGTGGTAACGCCATTGGAAACAGCGCCGGCCAGCGTGCCACTCCTTGTTGCCCTTCTTCTGACTGTAGCGGGACCTAATCATCTCGTTGCGTTCTTTGTCGTCCTTGAGATTGTAATAATCGTCTTCCGAAATATCGAGGTTTTCAGCCTCGCAGACCATAGCACAGTGCTCCTTGGATCGGTGAGCGTGTTGCTCAATCGCGTTCTTCTCGTTTTCCTTCTTTTGTCGGCCCTTCTGGTGATCAGTGGCCTTGCCCTGAGCTTCAGGACCAAATCCGATATAGCAGACGTCGTCAGACAAGTTATCCCACTCGTCGTGCTCCGCCTCCAGCTGAGGAGCCCAGAACTGGTGATACATTTCTCTAATTTGGATGAAACCCTAACGTTGATGGTTAGCTTTATTCTCTGCAAACTTCAACGTATCTCTGGCAAGCATACCTTTTTCTGTCGCGTCTTCTCGAAATGCCAGGCGTCGCTGACTTCCTCGGGATTCATGTGATGCATGGACAAGAGGGGCTCACACCAGTGATTGTTGCCAAATGGAAGGGTCATGGGCTTCTCGCCGTTGAACATTGGGTGTGCTTGTTTGACCTTCTTGCCGGTTTCCATGACAGCCAGGGACATGAGGTAATCACCACAGCATTCATGGGTAGCCATCATATCGTACTTGTGTGCCAAGTCAGGAATCTCAACCATCTTCCTCATGGTGTCTCCATGGATCACATAACCACTGCCGCCATGGGCGAATGGCTTTCCCTTGAGCATGGCAACACTGCCGACATACGGTGTCTCTGTGCCATTGACCCTGTTGCGGAGATACCACACGAGATTCGACCAGAAGACGTAGGTGTCGGCTTCAGCAAACACGTACCACTCCTTGTTGGGACGCATCTCCCAGGCTTTCTCTACCATGTGGAGGAACTTGTACTTATCAAGATTCCAGCCTTCCTTCATGTTCTCGGTACAGTACTGCTGAGCAATTGGACATTCAGTTTGGGCTTTGTAGAGGTCAAATTCCTTACGTCCTTTTTTGACGTCATCCTTCACGTCCTTGAGGACATCGTAGATTTGGTACTTGTCGATTTGTTGGTCCTGCCCGGATTAGTTAGCTGCAACCCTTTATGGAACGGTGGCTTGATATAATTTCATTGGTGGCGCCAAAAAGAAGCCCCCTTGCGCCCCCCTTTGTGAAGAATGCTATGTTTGCTCACCAGATCAGAAAAGAGAAGATAGTCATCCAGACACTGCAGACTCGTCAAGAGATGGGCCGGAAGCTTTGTAAATGCTTCGGTGGCACCGGTTTTCATAACAAGCATGATACCATCAGTGTTGGGAAAGCCATCACAAACTCCGGTCCAGTTTGATAAAGGACCCGAGGGAACATCCAAGTCTGCCGTTTGAGAAGGCATGAACTCACTCGCGATGCTAGTTGTCGCGCTATCTTGATAAACTTGGGTCTTGGCCGCGCTATCGTCGTCTTCTTTCTTGTGGTCATTGTTGTTTTGCGACTGATCAGAGAGCTTGGTACCATCAGGCTGCTTGTCTCCCTTGTCCTTGTCCTCGGCCTTGTCATCGCCCTGCTGATGCTTGTTCTCGCTTTCTTCAGTCTTAATCTCACTGTGTGGAGGTTTGTGCTCGTCGCCTGAGGCCTTCTCATCGGCCTGGAGTTTTTTCTCGCCGGTCTGAGGCTGCGTGTTATCCTGTGGCCGATGTTCCTTGTCGGTCTCTTCGGGCTTGTTTCCATCCTCTTGCGACTTGGGTTCACCACTTTGTACAGCCTGCGATTCGATCTCGCTGCTCTCGGGTTTCGTGGTCTCCTTTGGCACCTCGCTGTGGATCTGGTCGGCGCTTTGGGGTATATCGCTGTCGCCATGATCAATCTCAAGAACCGCTCCATCGTCCTCTGCATCCTCTGCCTTCTTGTCGTCCTCTGGGTGTTGAGCTCCAGCAGGCTTCTCAGCGCTGGCGGAAGCTTCTTTATCTTTCTCGCCTGTGTATTGTGGCGAATCCGTATCGTATGGGTTCTTTTCGGCAGGCTCCTTGTCGTTCAGTATTTGGTTGGTAGTCGTCTCGTTGAGGTTGGCGACAAAGCCTTCTTCGACATCGTATGCGGCACCTTCATGGCTGAGATAATTGGTCAAATGTCCATAAACGCCCGGTGAATCGTCGCTGAGCCGGTGGAGGGGTACAACAAGCAGCAAGGTCAGGGCGACGAGTGTTACTGTAATCAGCCTCCAGCCCCTGGGGGTGCTCCAGGCAGAGCTCAAGTGAAGGCCCATTGGGAAGAGGAGTAAACTGGTTATACAAAACAGGAACACATGCAAGAAAGGATACGAGTATGAAAATACAAAAAAATACAAGGGAGAGTGGCGCCTAGAGGCTATAAAGATGGAGGTAGGCTCTGAGAAAGAAAGAGAAAGATGATAGACGAGATGGAGGCTGAGGGCGGGACAGGGTAAAAGAGAGTGACGACAACCCAAGAAATCCGTCTACACACGGAACGGGAATCACGCTGTTTTGTGCAGCTAAGTTGGCATGGTTCTTTTCAAGAACCTCGCTCGTCTCGTCCGGCGACGTGTTGATAGATACGATCGTCTCCACATCAGCTTATCCTAACTCCTTGGCTTCCGTCGCATACTATACGTATGTACGTACGTACAGAGTATCTGGGTCTGGTCTACGTACATAGCTATCTGTGCCCTTGGCTGCATGCGAATCGCAAGTTATTTCTCGAAGGAAACAAAACTCAGCCAGGGCCCCTTCCTAGTCCACTAGCTACTAATCGCTAGTCAGGCCCAGGCTTGATGAGGCGTCCCGTACAGGCCGGATGGGATTCATGGGAGGACAAGACGCTAGACATGCCTCCACAGAATGAGGTGAACGCACATGCTGATAGGAGTGGACAGCCTAACAGCTCGCGTACATACACGCTGTACTGTACGATTCAGGGGTGCTACATACATACCCAGATACCCTGCTGCCGTGACAGGCAAGGTAACAGCGGCTTTGGAATGGTCCATCTGGCGATCACCCTTTTCAAGGACCAAGCGCCCGCATTCCAGACAGTTTGAGTTTAATAGAATACCGCAATCCATTGCCGGTAAAGCTCCCAAGCTGCGTGCCTGGAACGTTGGGCTTGGAATGCAGTTACACAAAAGCTTTTCTGCAAGCAGCACACAACGGCCCGGCTTGGAATTCAAACTCTGCTTCTACCACTACCACACAGCCAAACGGCATTTTGCGCAGATTGCTCACAGCGCCAGGCGTCGCCCCAATGCCAATAGTCAAGGTTGTGGCTGAAAGTCATGGCTTTTACCTGGTTCGAGACGGACAATTCGACATTGACAGTCATGACAAAGTTTGGCCCCCTTTTCCATGACATGCTGGTGGACATTTGACCTGAAAGCAGCCATTGAATAAGTACGTTAAGAGATGGGGAAAATGAACCCTGGACCCAGACTTCGATAGTCTCTGATGAATATTGTTTCGTTTACACAGGTAGCCGCCGATAGTGTCACTATAGCGCCTCTCTGGTCAGCGTTAGAACATGCCAAGCGCTGGCTAGGTGGACTACTAAGGTGGGGGGTCCTTTGTCCTTTTTTTTCTTTCTTTTTTTTTTAGTTAACCTCCCTTAGTAGGCAGCCTCCATCCTTTGCAGCTGTTATAATGTTTGGCAACAATG